ATGGCTCGGCGCCGGGCTGCGGCGCTGGCCTTGCTGGCGTCTGGGCGAAACGCGCGTCGGACTTGGGGAGTGCGGAAGAGCTGAGCTTTTGATAGTGTTGGCGACCTCTTGGGTGCGACAAGTTTTTCTCGGGACACTTGAGCTTTTGATATGGCCAGCGACCTCTTGGGTCCTAATTCTGACAAGACGTGGTTCCTGAGGTATGAAAGCGAGGAAGCATAGCCATTCATACAAGTGTTTTGACGATTGTAGACGCTGATCGTCTTTGTTCGAATTGTCAAGATCCTAAAAAGCGCAGGGGTTGTTTTAGTGGGGCTTGCTGCTTTTAGTCCCGAGCATCTTTTGGATACACAACAGAGGCAATTGTGAGTGCAGGTGTTGGCTTCAACATCCTGAAGTGGCGGAGGGTTATGGGCAAGGGGGCTGCACTTGGGGGCGCTTTTTGCACGTTTCTCTTTCATATTCTTTGTATTGCCTTTCTCAGGTCCCACAACAAGGCTACGCCTTCTGCCGGGATTTCAGCGGATTTGCAGTGTTGGTGGGTTCAGGGTGGCTTAGATTGGTGGTTTGGAGTTTTGAGCCCCCAATTCTTTGGAAACCAAATCGGAAAGGCGCCCCCTAACCTCTAACCACCAATTCCAACTGCCAAAGAAATCGGGGTATGGTGATTGATGCCACTTTGTGCCGAGTTGAGGGGCACTGTGGGAATCATGCAAAAAGATGAAGTGAGCTGCTAGGTGCAATGCTGAGTCCAAGCCAGCAACCAGCCTATTTAGAGATGGCGACAACCTTGCAACCATACTCACAACATTACCAACAGCCCAGCTTGACGAAGACATCGGAGAAAAATCCGACTTTATCCACGACACCTGCACGGACCAGGTCATCTTCCCATTGCCATGAGCGAGCAAGTCAACACGGCGAACTCCGGTTCTTGCTTGTGGCGTTTGTGCCTTCCTTCCGCATGCATATCCCGGAGTCCCCTCAACTCCTCGGAGTCCGAGGTCTCTTCGGCCGCTTTTGTGGGCTATGGCAGCTGGGCCGCGCGGGCGCGGTTCCGCGTGGCGCGGGAGGCGGAGGGCGCGCTGGATGAGTTGGATCTGATGCTGGCGCGGGCGCCGGGGGGTGGGCTCTACAGGTACAAAGGCGGGGGGCACGGGAAGGTCGGGGGAAGGGAGTGCAGGGCTCACTTTCTTTGTCATTCGGCGGACTTCCAACCAGCGCTCGCAGGTTGAGGTGACTGACATTGTGACTGACTCCAAGCACCGATGTGTTCACGGAGTAGATTCAGTCAAAGGCACCCTGGTGAGCATGGCAAGTTGAATGAGTGGTATCGCCTACGCAAGAAAGATAGGATCGACATGTATCCGGAAGAAACATGTATGCTGTGCCTGTTAGTGCATGTTGACTAAGTGTCCTGGGTCAAAGCACTGGTGAGCGAGCGAAGTTTGCTGAGAAGGCAGACGGAGGCAAGCAACAGGTGTCCCCCTTTGTTGGCAGCCTGGGACACCCTGTCCCGGGTTTCCCAATGCCCAAACAATCATAGCGTGAATCCATGCCAGGGTGCCCTTTGCCTGCAGGCGCATGGTTGGGCCATCATATCAGTTGTTTGCTTGGGGCACCTTTTCGGTGATCTCTTTTGAAAGTCAACCCACATGTTCAGGTCCACCAAATGTGGTCCGGAGTCAAACATACTATCATGTCCGGCCAACGCGCTCTCTTTCGGCCGCTTGCTTTTGGCCGCTCCGGGCCCCGCAACACGAGGCCAAACCGCCGCAGCCCCCCGAAATTCCCGAGACCCCCCCCCCCCGAACCCCCCAGCGCTCGGCGCGGCTCCGGCTCCGCGGCTCCCGAGCGAGGCACGGGCTTCGACCCGGAGGCCTGTGGGGAGGCCTGCGAGGCGCTGGCGCAGGCGATCGGCGAGGGCAACGAGCGCCAGGCTGGTGGGATGGGTGGATTGGGTTGGGTGGGATGGGTGGGATGGGTGGGGTTGGGTGGAGTTGGGTGGGAGAGGGGGAAACCCAAAGCAAGATTTGGGGAGGGGAAGTTTTGTGGGAGGGTGTTTCTTTAGTTTCTTTCTTCTGGGGAGGTGGGAGTGTGATGATGGCTTGATACGTTTCAGAGGGAGTCTAGTTCCGCGAGTTTTGCAAGGATTCCCAGCTCACATCTCCCATCGCCACTTCCCTCACCTCCCCCACTCCTTCCCTCCCAGGTGGACGGCCTGGTGACGGCGCTGAAGTTGATGATGCCCCCCAGCAGCGGCGCAGAGCAGGCGCTGGGGCCCCCAAGGGACGACTTCATCCTCAGGCACGGGGCGCCAAGGGAGAAGCCGGGTGATCTTGGTGTGCCATGGTTGTCTCGGTGTCCTTTCCCTGTGATGCTTTGCGTGTTGTTTGTGGAGTGTTGCTTTTTTCAGTTGTTTTGTTTGTTTGTTTTTGTTGTTTTGGTTGGTTGGTTTGGATTGTTTTGGAGTTGTTTCGTATTGTTTTTGTTTGTTTTGCTGCTGTTTTTTCTCGACTGTCTGAGAGCCTGAGCTTTTTTTTGGGCCACGAGCTGCATTGAGCACTTGCGAGCTCGTGGCTTTCAACTTGTCGCTTTGCAGATGCATTCTGACCCTTGACTGTCGGAAGAAACGTTTGTACATTTGATTGCGAATCTCTGGAAGATTGGCTTTCCACGTTTGATCACTGAACTCTCTGCACAGTGATGACACAATCCTTTGATGTTGATCGCTTGCTCGCCTTGCGGGATGGGCGGGAAGCCACATCTCTAAACTTGAGATTGAGCTGACATCGCCCAACCCAAAGGCTTCCCAAAGCCGAACACCGACCGCACTGTTGACCGCCCGATTGCAGAGCATTTGGTGACGGGAGCGGCATGGCCAGCACGATAGGCGAAAGCTTTTGCACTACATCACAACCAGGACATGCAATTCTGCCCAGTTGACACTGTACTCGCAAAGTCTTCACGAGGAACATCGCCACATTTGTCTCGCTCGGACGCGGTCATTTAATTTCAATGTTTCAGTAAGTAGTCATCCCCTTTTTTTGGTGGGCAGAGCGGAATGTGCATGGCTTGTTTATTCTTTTCTTGGTTTCATGGTTGCTCATTGCGATGCGAGCTTTCATCCTTCGAACAAACAAGTAATCAGAAAGAAACAAGTGTTTCACCACAGACAAGCAACACCTGTATTACTATTTTTCGGGGGATCAGTTAGGCCGAGATCAGTAAAGCGACATCCGCACAACTTCCCTCGTGGCAGTGTTGAATGGATTTCCCGCCGAAGGCAGTTCTAGGAGCGCGTCCGGGCAAAGAAGTCGGAGGGTTCCTGGCGAACGGCAGATGTCCCGTGCTGCCGTTCAGTGCCAGGCCAGAGGTGCTGCCTTGGTCGGAGCAAGACTTCCTCGGAGGCAAAGGGCGGTCTATCCGCTTCGGGAGACCGGTTTGCGGATCAGTTCGTTGCCTTCGATTGTCTTTCTTTTTTGAATCAACCTGGTGACCACACCTGCATGGTTCTACAGAGTGCGACTCTGGCCTTGCTTTGACAAGGCGAGCCAAGACTTTGCACAACAGCAAGCTGCGTTGGGAATTCACACACACACACACACGAGGTTTGTCCGATAAACTTGATACCTTGCTGATCTCCAGCACTTTTGGCTTCTTCCCGAACCTGGATGGACTGTTTTTGGGGAACACAACCGGCCGGCCCTTGGCATTTGGAAGGGGTTCTGTGAGAGGGAAGGGCTTCTGGCCAGTCATCAGGTCGCATTTCCACGGCAAAGGGTAGCCAGGTAGACCCCAACGTTTTCAGTTGGAGGTTGCGACAAACAAGGGTGATCGAGGCGGGCGCCATTCTTGCTTCGGCATGGCGCGTCGCAATCCAAACCCAAACCTGACTCAGTGCCAGACTCATTACCACCCCCCAAACCCTCACCGACCCCTCTCCCCACAATCCCCCACCCACCCCGCTCCCCACCACCCAACCCTCCCCCCCCCACCACCCAACCCCCCCTTCCCCCCTCCGGCTAGGGCTGGAAGAGAACCAGCGCATCGTCCAGGACTGCGAGGCCCAGTTTGCGCGGCTCATGGCCCAGCACTCCGAGGGCTTCCGGGCCCCCGAGGAGGGGGCCGTCCCGAGGGCCCGAGGGCCGATGCTTCTGGCGACTGCTGGGTGGGTGGCTGGGTGGCTGCGGATCGGTTTTGGGTGGGAGACCCGAATGGGGAAAAACCGGAAGGGAGGGTCGAGGCTCATCATTCCACTTCTCGATCCCTGAGCGCCGGCAAGATTTTGAGACGGGCCCTGTGGCTTCGGGTGAGGGCTGGCTTCCAGGTGGATGCACAGAGACATCCAGGTGGTGAATTCCCAGGGGGCTTCTCCGGCGGGTGGTTATAGACCGACAGAGAGACCTTCGTCCATGCCAAGTGGTGCAGGCTACTGTCCAGCCCAACAGTAGCTTATGCCATTGACGTAAAATTGTATGTGTGGATCACGAGGATGCCCCAAATATTGCAAGTAAGCCAACCAGAAACCATGGGAATTTACAAGGTTTTCCTTGCTCCCTACTTGCAGTATTTAGGGCATCCACCGTACACACATATACACATGCATACATGCGTACATGCATACATGGATACATGCATACATGCATACACGCATACAAGCGTACATGCATACATGCTTACACGCATACACGCATACATGCATACATGCATACATGCATACATGCACACATGCATGGACAGAGGCAGAGGAAGAGGCAGACGCAGAGCGTACACACGAAAATACGTACATACAAACGTACGCACCTGTGTACGTACATACATACATGCGTATAATATATACACTGTATCTACACAACATATATATATATGGTCACACCCCCACATGACCCCCCTTTTCCCTTCCAGACCAGATGATGACCTTAGGTATTGTTGGGGCTGCGCAGGTGCTTGACAGATGTGTTTCATGCCAGAAGCATGTGCAGCAGAAACTATGTAGGTTCGTTCACTCAGCAGTGTGTCCTTTGCTGCTTTTTCTAGCCAAGACAAAACCAAGAATCCAATATTTTTGCAGAAGTCTGGTGGCCGGTGGCTTTCAAACTTCTTGGGTTCTTGGTGTTTGGTTTTTCTCGGTTTTTTTCAGTATAATTCCCTAGTTTTTCCTCGGTTTTCAGCAAACACCAAGAATTCCTTGTTTTTAGACACTTATCCCGACAAGAGGCCCCAAACAGTGGTGGGTTTTAACAGGACAACAAAGTGCCAACATGCAAGCTGATGCCTTCCGTTAACAATGCCAACAAATGCCTCTTTTTTTGAACATGGCTTTGGAATATATGGGATATGCGGTAAAATGGGTATATATCAAAGAAGGGACTTCTTTGAGGTTCATTCCTTTAGATTCAGCCCAAAAAAGCAAAATTCCACAACATTGAGAAACTGTTGGCCTGAGGAGACAAACTGCCTCCCCCTTTTCAAGGGTTGGTTTCCTCCTTTTTTTTTTTTTTTCTTTTTCTCACAACCCCAAGGGGGTGCCCCAAAAGACGACGAACCCATGGGGAATTCCGGGCGCCCCGCAAAGTAAAAATCATAGTCATCAATCCAGAACCAACTTGGGCCATATGAAGGTCTTATTCGGGTTCGGTGTTTGCCTTTGGAGGTGTGAAACGGCCCCCTCCCGGTTTACAGCACCATGGCAGGTGCTTGCTGCGGGCATGGACTTGGCGGTGGTGTACCTGCCGCTAGGGCCTAGGGCTGGCGAGAGGCGTCGAGTCCTGTGAAGGCGAGAGGACTTTTGTGGACATTACTTTTGCTCGTTCTTATGATCATTTTGACTCCGAATTTCCCATTATGAATGGAAGGCGTCTCGCTGCTGGCGGACAGCTAGGGAATCTGACGAATGATCTCGCAATGCGAAGATGGGTTTGTCTTGACATCGGTTTTCTTTAAACCTGTGGCGACCTCAAACGTGGTAGCCTTCAAAAATGGACGTCCAGGGGTGAACCAGAAAAGGTGTTCCAAGGGGCAACTGGTCCAAATTTGGGGAAGGTTCTATGTGTAAAACCCATCCAGAAAGGATACTGCCTGAGCCAGGTTGGGTGCTGTATCCAGAACTAGTATGTGGGAGCCTGGGTGCGAGTTCCAGCGCGGTGAAACCTGCGCCCCGAAAAGTGAAGAAGGGTTGCCCGCAAATTAGGTTTGCTCTTCATGAACCAAGCACGGGGCTTTTGGTTGTTAATCAATTGGGTTGTGATTCAAGGCTCTTCCGTCTTTTGAGTTGATGGTGACACCATGAATTGCTGGAAAGGGCCTTCCCCGAGCGCACATGGCTGCTTTTGAGGGTACCCGGTTTTTCGGGAAGCCGGAAGCCACGGTCCACACCCACAGCGACAAGCCCTACCCCAGTACTCTGGAAACTAACTGACATTCGAAAATGGGATCGTTTCTTTTTTGGGCTACTTTCCTTAATCTGCGGACTGGTGGACCCCTTTTGGCACGTTAAGGGGAACTACAAGGACACTCTTGCCATTTTAGGGGATGTATGTTGAGAAGTTTGAAGGGACACCAACCATTTTTCTGTTGCACGCAAGCGGTTTGGCTCGGCGAACCGTGCTGTGTTTCTCACACCAACTCCAACGTCCCCCCCGCCGCAAACATCACCTTTCCCCCAATCGGTGATTTGGATTGGTTTGGAGGTGTGACCACCCATCCAAACCAACGAAGCGTTAATGTTGACCCAGGATTGATAAACCCGCATTATTAGGGGGGAGCTCCCTTCAAAAGTGGTCTGAACCCCCCCACTAAAAGGGGACACCCCCCGATAAAAATCAACCAGGGGTTTTGCTTAATCCGGGGTCAACCTGGTGATTTGGATTGGTGGTTTGGAGGTGTGACCACCCATCCACATCACCTTCCCCCCAATTGGTTATGTGGATTTGTGGTTTGGAACCCATCCAAACCGACGAAGCGCTACCAAGGAAGAACTATGCGCTGGACAAGGCGGACATGCTCTACGAGGTAACGAAGCCCCACTGCCTCTCCCGCGGCCTTCCCTGGAACGTGCGGCTCGGTTCGCGGTGGCAGCGAAGATGAGGAACATCGCCCACCTTTTTCTGGGGGGGCAGTTTGGGGGTGCGTATGTAACAAAAGGTGTGTGTGTGTGTAACAAAAGGTGTTTGTGTGTGTGTTTTTAAAGGACTACCCTTTGTGGATTTGGTTCCTGGGACCAAAGGGAAATCCGCAGCTTTCGAGGTGCCCCTTTTTTAGCAACCCAAAAGTCTATATACAAGATTGGTCTGTTTCCAGATGGGGAAAGCTGCAAGATGCTTGGTTTCATCTTGGTTTCCTCTTAAACCCAAAAAAGGGGTTCCCCCAAAAAGCCACCCACATATATATATATATATACACATGTATGTATATGTATGAGGTTTGGTCAAAAATGCCAGTAGTTCACTGTCCATGTGGGAGGGGCATGGGGGACTCTAAATTTCTTACACATTTCTCACAAAACCAGCTGGACTTGCTATTTTTCCCATGACTGTGGCTCATGTCTACGAATACGCATACATACAATTTGAATTTGTATGTATATATATATATGTATGTATACAGTAAATACAAATGCAAATACAAAGCATCACACCAAAAGCTACACTACACTACACTACAATACACTACACTACAATACACTACGATACACTACGATACACTACGATACACTACAACACGCTACAACAGATACAATACATCACAATACGCTACAATACACTACAATTTACTACAGTACACTACAGTACACGACAATTCAATATCAGTTCAACACAACGCAGCACAATTACAATACAACGCAGTGCAACGCAATACAATACATAACATAACACAACAGAAGACAACATACACACACACACACACACACTATTCATTTGCAAATACAGGTATACATATATATATATATAGAGAGATGCACTTATGCGCTTCCTCCCATTGACTAACATGGACCCATCAGAAGGTCCCTTTCACAGCAACTGGGCCAAACATCGTAGAGCGGTTGGATTCATGTTTGGTGGACAGGTACGTGTGTTTTTGCATGCTTTGCTGCTTGCTTTGTGCACGGAAGTTCTTCGTCGCATCCTTGTTTTGGACGGATTGTGCAATCGTGGGACTCACACTCATCAATCAATCACGGCAAAATCTGATTTGAGGTTGGGGTGAGGTTTGCTTAGCAGTTGCCGCCTGCGATCCGACCCCCTCACAGCCCACCGTGATGGGAGTTGAGCCAGGCTTGTGAGATTGGCCGATTTTGCTTCTCCCCATCTCACCAGCAATTCGCCACAAGTTCTAGCAGCCTTGGCCAGAGCTCTTTGTTTTGGGAAGCAACAAAGAGTGGAATCTCATAATGCCTGCCTAGTTGTACCACCGCTCAGTTGGTTTCAAACTTCATGTTTCCCATCACTCCAACCACCGATGAAGAACATAATTGAAACAATGAACAGCCCAAAAGCACAAAAACCGCCAGCCTCTCAGCAGCACAAAAGATGTGCCTAATGTTTCATGGTTTTTCTGGAGCTCCTGTCCCCCCTCCTCCCCCCAGGCTAGCCATCGCGCGCGACCATTTTTGGTGCTTTCAGGAAGTGGTTCCAGGACTGCGCCACGCTGCGGTGCAAGCAGAACCGCCAGGCTGAGGCAGCGCCGATGCTGGAGGAGGCACAGAAAAAAGCGGGGTTGAGACACATGAAGCGGCTCCTGCCATGATTTCAGAAGGTTTTTCTTTTGTTTTCTCCCGCGGGTTTTGAAGGAACCATATCCCGGCAATTGACCCCAAACAGTGGTCAAAGACTGAGACAGGAAACAATGCAGGCAACACGAAAGTAGCCATAGCAGTTGCTCACTTGCTTCTGCACATGCTGTGCTGACACGACCACACAGGGTCTCTATAGAAGGTCTTGCACGTACTATTGAAGATCTCCCTTGTAAAGATGTCCAGCGCCAGAGCTTCCCAGAAGAAGCATCTACTAATGTTTCTTTTGAAAGTCCTGGACAAGATCTCTGTGGAAGGATCTTTGCAGGATGTTTGGATAGGATCGTCTGATAGGACCTCCTGCGATCTGTGTGCACGATCCCTAAGAGAATCCTCTACAAGTTCTCTCTTCTGGCTGTGTAGAGAGCATCCTCTACAACATCTCTTGACATGAAGCCTTCGCAGGTGCTGCGCAAGATCTGTCGAGAGAACCAGCGCAAGAAATCTTTAGACCTGTTGACAGCATCTCTTGGCAAGATTTCTGTGCAGAATCTCTGGACAGGGTCTCTTGATATCTTGACACAATTTGTGTGTGCGCGCGTGCAAGAGAATCTTTTCAGTTCCTGTACTTCGGTGTCTGTAGTTTGAACTGCGCCGCAGCCGCAGTGATCCGACCCACCCAAAGTCTACAGAGGGTTGACTTTTGATGTTCCAAATTCGCAGCACGCCGCAGCCAGAGCGATCCGACCCACCTGAAGTCCGCAGAGGGTTCACTTTAATTCGCACCGCGCCACAGCCAGAATGATTTGACCCACCCAAAGTCTGCAGAGGGCCCACGTTTGATGTTCAACAAAATGTGCACCTCGTGACAGTGATAGCGATTCAATGCCGCCCCAAACCACGTTGATGGGAGAGCCGCATAGCTAGGTCTATACCCTGACTTTTCTTGGATTCTATACCCTGATTTTTCTTGGGAGGGGTTCTAGGGGTGGTTTAGCAGCCATCTTAATATGAGAATTTGCCCAGAGGTGACTGCAAGTTCTGATGTCCATGACCTGCCAGGTCGCCAAGCTGACGCCGCCCCACGAGGCCACGCTCAGGCGTGCGTCGGACGCAGAAAGGTGACACGTGAGCGGCCCATGTCACCGGTGTTTCTCGGTACGAGGCCCGCTGGATGGCTTCCTTTTGGCCTTGAAAATTTGAAAACAAACTTCGAGAAGGGCTTTCCCCCAAAGCGCCAAAAGGCTGTGACGAATAGGGACACGCATGGGACATGATTCGCGAACGCCGCTTTTGTGTCCGCGGTAATTCAGCTCTGGAACTTGAGCTTGAAACACCACAGGTTGGTTTGCTGGTTTTCTTCCCTCTGGGGGTATGGCTGGCTCTCTGAAATCTATGCTTCAAATCCAGATTTCACATCATTTGGACCAGTTGCAAATATGGGGGACCAGGTGCCGCATTTCCACAGAGACAGAGAGGGCCTCTCCCATTCTGGCCCACCAGTCGGTCGAGTCAGACAAGGAGAATTCCCTGAATCACCCGTCAAAAGGGTTGAGAGGGTTGAGATCCTTGTCCCAAGACTGCGGAGTGTGTCATCCGTGTGCAGGGTCCAAAGTGCAAAACAAAGTGGGCTATTTCATTCGAGGGCAAAGGAGGTGAGGGTTGTTACCGAGCCGTCCCACGAATTCTACCTGGTGCCGATCGGGTCCGAGACCCACCAGGCTCTGTTTTAATTGTTTTGAAGCCCCGCATTCGCCACCAACCGGCCGACCAACCGCCTTTTTGTGGGGCCTTCTGCGTTCTGGGCGTGCCGTGCCTTGCCTCGGCCAGGAACCTGGGCACGGTGTACAACCAGCTCCGGGAGCACGACAAGGCCAAGGTCTACTTCGATGCGGCCGCGGAGCTGGTGGGGGGAAGGGACGCCAACGGAGAGCTCATCTTGGACAAGGAGGCGCGAGCTTCGCCCATGTCGATCTATTTTAAAAGGACATCTATGGCTCCTTTGGGATGTCTTGGATTTTGAGTCTCCTTTCTGGACACTTCTCAAGTAACGCGCAGACTGGTCAAACGCAATATGACCGACATTACATCGATTCCTGGGCTGGGTTTCGCATGCATGTGTGTGACAGCAACACGTTTTCTTCAGGCGTGGCTGTGTGCTATGTGGTGTCTACTTCAAGCTCATCACTCGATAACGTACCGTGGATGGCCAAACTCCCGCACCAATCGAATGGTGCTTTATTTCGGTATTTATAGGGTTTTCATCCAGTACGACAGGTGCATCATTTTGTCCGTCCACGGTAGTACATCATGCTTACATGGTTTGTTTCTCGATCATGTTAGCATGACACTATCCCGTCAATCATGGCAGGGGAGCTTGGTTGTAGCAACCATTCAGAGGGACGCGGTGTCATTTCCCAGTGGTGCCTGTAGTCCTTTGGGAGAAATGGATCCAAATAGCAGATTACCATGCTTCAGCATAGCTATCTCCCATCGCAGTCTTCAATGACTCTGCTTGCTTTGGATGGGTGCGAGTTTTGCGGGTTAACATTCCCACGTCAACGATGTCCACCTTATTGGCGTTTGATTCCGAGAAACACATACCCAATGCAAGCCAAAAAGACCTTACAGGGTTCTCGAAAAGGATCTTTGGAACATCGGGCTGGTGCACAAGAACAAGCAGAACTACGAGGAAGCCGCGCCCATGTTGGACCAAGCCCTCGAGAAGTGGCCACTCGAATCCGATTTTCGGCGTGGGGGTTGGTTCCAGGCGTCGATGGGAGCAACGAAGAACATGGGTGGCTCATCTTTTGGAGCCACACAATGGTGGTTTTCCTTTTGGCTTCCCTTGAAAGCCATCCAAAAGAGGGCACCCTCAAAGAAAGACACGCCAAAATCCTTCTGGGAAAATCGAATACACAACAGGGATTGGCAGTGGAAGCGTACTGAAGAGCAACTTGGAGTATGGCAAAACACTCAAAAGCACCTTTTCCCTTCACAGGCAACACGTTGAACCACCATTCTTATCTGGCGGTGGCTTGACAGCCAAATTGAAAGTGCAAGCAACCAAGAAAGGTTTCATGGAAGAGGGTGTACTTGAAACCACCATTCTGGGAGACTTGCAATCATTCGCCAAGCTGATACAAACGGGTTATTGAGGGTACCTTCATGCCTGAGCTCGCCAGCCCTGGGCCAGATTCCGGGAGGTTCTTGGCAAGGTTCCAGGGATGGAGAGGTTCCGGGTGAGGAATTAGGCTGTTGAGGTGCCCTTCCAACCATCATGGGAGCTGACATGGGTGTGGCTCAAAGTTAACCAGGAGCGGTTAAGCAGGTTTTGGTCCATGTTTCCACTTACCAGGGTTCCATTTTGGTACCGGTTTTCTGAGTCACAGCCACCTGAGATTCTGCCAGATTGCTTGAAAACTCCCCGCGAGAGGCTCGGTTTTCCCCCGGCTTTTTCCGTACGCCAGCCCTCACCACCAGGCTGAAGGAGGACCCGGATGATGATGTGACGCTGGCGAAGCTCTACGATTCTGTGGGCAGCTGCTACGATGAGATGGGCAGGCGCCAAGCTCCAAAAGGGGCGGGGGATCTTCAGTCAAGCGCGGGTCGAGGTTCCTTCTGGGGTGTTCAATAAACTTAAGTAGGTTGTAGCCATGGTAACTGGGGCTACTCCCCTGACAACTCTTTTCATAACCTGCTTAGTAAGTTGGTTGAACATCCAAGTTATCCCGGAAACCATGACATGGCAGTACTTAAGGCCGACCTTTCAGGCGACATCCGCCGTGAGCCAAAATCGGAAGCTGACTGGCGGCCGGAGGCAAGTAGTTCCAATGGAAAAGAACGCTGTTTCCACACATCCGAACGCTGTGCGTCCGGGGTAGCCCTAAGTGAAACGGTGGAATTGTCCCTGTGTATGTCACGAAGGATGCCTCACCTTTTGTAAATAATGCTCTATTGCGCCCATCCGGTTCTGCCTCGTACTCGTAAACGTGTTAAAACCACTCTCATCATTGATGCGGGCTTTTGGTTTCCCAAACGTGGACTGGAGGCACGACGAGGCGGTGGGAGTGTTGCAGAAGGCCAAGGATCTCTACGACCGCAGCATTGGTACAGAGAGCCCCCTGTGCCCCCGGGTCTGCAGAGCGAGCGCTCGTCCCTCAAGTGGCACGTTTTACCGGGGAGCACCGGAGGCTACCCTCAAAATGGTAGCAAGTTGAGCCCCTGATGTCCAACAAAGCACCCAGAGAAAACCACACACTACTTTTCCATGAGTTGCTTTGGAGTTTTGGATGTCACAAGGGACTCGAAGCATTTCGCGGGTCATTTGAGATGATACTGTGGATGGAGGAAATCCTGCACCACCTTAAGAAAGCCTGGAATAATAATTCCCCTGTAAACACCAACAGACAATGGTTTCCCATGGTTTCAAAGTGGTGCAGGATTTTGTCCATCCACAGTAGGAATGAACATTCAGCTTTCAGGTACGGCAGTGCTTGCGAGCGGCTCAGCCGAGCGCTGGTGCACGGCGGCCGCTACCAGGAACGCCCGCGTTTTTTTTTTGGCAGGCAGCCCAAAGGAACACGGCAGTTCGGAGTCTTCTTGTTCAAAAGGGAAACCAAAGAGATAGCCCCCCTTCCCTCTTTTCCTTTTGGATACCAAGTGACTGCAACTCCAAAATAATGGGGTTCCGATTCTTGGTCTACCTTTCGGGTGAATGATCGCAACCGGGGTTTGCTCAGGAGCTGGCTGGCGCTGATATACACATCTTTTTGAGGGTTACCTGCTTTAGCTTCTTTACTTGGGGCTGCGTCGCTGCCCATGAACCCTTTTCCAGGGATAAACAACCATCGTAAGGCTTCCTAAGGGAAGGGAGCCACTGTGGCCATTGGGAGTTTTTGACCATAGCCGAAATGAGAACCTGTACAGTACACCCCATATGTGATGTGTGTGTGTGTGTGCCCCCAAATTTGGGCTGTGGGTAAAAGAAGGCGCTTCTCAAAATGAGGGAACCCCCCGAAGATCATAAAAAAGGGTTGGTTTCTATGGTGGATTCTCTTCCAGCCAAATTTGGAGGAGTCCCCTGTGTTTGAATTTTGAGAACCCCCATAAGGTGTGTGTGTGTGTGTGTTCAATGGGGGAACCCAAACAGTTTGTGGTCTTTGGTCTCTGTTTTCAGCGACCAAACAAAGGGTACCCTTAAGCTCAAAGCATAAAACAAAATCAGCATTTTCTCACGAGCATCCGCCCAAATGGACCGAACACCCACAAAAAGAAAGAAGAAAAGCCCGCGCCGCCCAGCCGCGACTCGCTTTCGTTTGGGTGGCGAGGAGGGCCTGGACAACTTGATCGAGGCCTTCACGGTGATCGCGCTGCAGGACGCCGTGCACCCCACGCCGCTCTTCGAGCTGCTGGGCATCGCGCTGGAGGAGATCCCCATCACCCAGGAGGCGTAGAGCTGGCTGAGCTGGGAACTACTCGCTTGGTTTGGGGGGGGGGCTTTCTTTGGGCTTTTCGCTTTTGGGTTTTTTATTGGTAACGTCCAACAAGAACGGGGTTTTCCTTGGAAGTGTTCTTTGGGCATCCCCTTTGGTTGTTTTCTTGACAACCCAAAAAAAGGAACCCTCGAAATAGACACCAAGATGTCCCCGTCGGGTTTTAAAGTTCACCTTTTTGGTCTGGAGAGCTTGCTGTAAGGGTGGATGCTTTGAGGTTGGACATATAGGAAACTTTGGGAAACCAGAACCAGTTTGGGCAAGCAATTTTTGGAGGCCATCCACAGTAGGTGTCCTTTCTTTTCGGGTCAGGAAAGCCCTTTTTGGATCGTTTGCTTTGGGACACTATTAAAGAAACACCATCTACAGTAGGACCCCTTTTCGGTAAGTGGATTTCACCGGTTTCAGGTTAGTTCTGATGTCATTTGATTCCTTGTGACTTTTCAGAGGTGGTCTACCCAAGCCGTTCTTGCCACCCAGACAATGGTGCCAGTTTTTATTATTATTATCGTTCTCTGAGATTCCGAAAGCTACTACAACAAGGGGTGCCCTCTTTGGTGTGTGTCATCTTCGATCTGTTGGTTTCTTGCCCGAATGAAACCCTTGCCATTTTTCCCGGAAATCGGGTCTCAGCCAGCTGGGTGCTGGGTAGAGAGGGCCTGGGATGGCGGATGGTCCGAGGTGGACGTGTCGGAGCTGGCGCGGCTGGAGGTGCCGATCCAGGCGGCGGTGCGGAACATGCGGTACCGGGGCCTGGACCAGGCCGCATCGAGGGGGTGGGGTGGGGTGGGGGGGGGGTAGGGGTGGGGGAGGGGTGGGGTGGGGGGGAGGGTAGGTTGAGGGTGGAATCCCATGGCAAACACCTTGTGTGAGAGAGCTGAGCTGGAACGCGCCCGCATTCTACAAGGGGGAGTTGACAGAAACGCGCGTGGATCCTCAGTCCAACCACCTGGGTTCAGAGGAATCGCGTTGCCAGAGGTCGTTGCAGTGGCAACACGCGGCTTATGGAAAACGACCATCTAGCCTTCGGCTGTTGCGGAGCGGTGGGAAAGGCAGGTTTTGCGTGTTCTTGCGGCGCCTTTTTTTGCCTCTGGCACGTTGTCTTGTCTGTTTAGGGCGGACCTGGGTTGTCTTGTTTCCTTGAACACTTACTTCTCGGCCGCTTTTTGTTTATTTTCTGTTCCCTGTCTGGGTTGCTGTTCATTCTTCCCCAGACCGTAGTGTGTGTTTTGCAATCCTTTGTCTTTTTGTGGCAGCAGAAGGTACGCACAGAACTGCCGAACAGCGCAACCCTTGTCCTTCCTTTCAACCAATCTCAAATAGGGGTGCCAGGGCTTGGTTCATGGTTTGTTCTGAAGTCATTCGCTCCATGTGGCCTGCTTGGTGTGATGCCAAGGTAACCTCATTGAAAGTGACAAAGCAGATACTGTAGCGGGATGGCCCACTTTGCAAAGTGGTGTCACAGAAGGTGTCATTCTTCCTCCTGCTGTACATGAGCCAGCTTCGTTTGGAAGGGAATTACTTTCCTTGTGGTGGGGGTATTTTTCCCAACCCCGGTGTGCCTTTTTCGAGGGCACCCTTTTGGGGACTGAGCCAACGCAGACGCAACGCAACACGGTTGCCTTCCCGAAGGCTTCCGAAGGCAGCTGTATATGGGCTATGGGTCAAAGTTAAACCACCAGTTGGACCGCAGGTTTTTTTTTCCTGGCCAAGTACTGGGGTTCCATTGCGAGTGCCTAATTTTTGAGCCACAGCCGTATTTTGAGAGAGATTTTATGCTGAACTGAAAAGTGGGTCCTTTGAGTCTCGATTGTGTCTTTCCCCAACAGCGGCAGCTATGGGGTCTTGGCTTATCCCGTACTTTTGGGGTTTCTCCTTCAACCCGACTTGGGCAATTGTTCCACCGGCATTGCTTTCTTTTTACCAGGGGGAGGACTTCTTTCTGTACCCACTTTTGGTGGAACTTGGCTTTAAGCCACTTAAGGAGTACCTCTTTCCATACCGGCATTTCTCTTTTTTAACCACCTAGAGGACCTCTTGCTCTTGCTTTTTGTGGGGCAGGACGGGAACTGCGGGGTGCTCTTCGAGCGCATGGCCCGCGCTTTGGTCCTCTGCTCCCCCGGCGGCGCTGTGGAGCCCGGCGCCAAGGCGGCGGCGGCGGGGCGGCGGCAGGTGGCGCGCACGTTGCTGCGCCACGCGGCGCCGCTGGTGGAGGCGGCCACCAAGGCGGCGGCTGGGGCGACCCGTTTTGGGGTGGGGGGGTGGTGGGGGGGGGGAGGGGGGGTTGGGGGTGGGGAGGTGGGGGTGGGGGGAGGTGGGGTTGGGGGGGAGTCTTGGGGAGGTAGGGAGGTGGGGGTGGGAGTGTTGGGGTGGGAGGAGGTGGGAGAAGGGGCAGAGGTTGGGGGAGATGGGGGAGAACTCATTTTTTGGCGTGGCCCCATTTTGAAACGCTGTCAGAGGCCTCGAAAGAAGCGCTTCGCCCGAAAGAGAACACTCCAGGTTACACAGTGGGTCGACCTTTGACCCGATGGTCGGGTGGGGTTCCGCAATCTCTGTGCGATTGCCTGTCGCAGGAGGGCTTGGCAGACCTGACCCACGCAGCTGGGCCTGTTTGCGGGGAGGGTGAAGGCTAGCAAGGTGCAAAGAACTTTTTGTGCCCGAAACGAGTTGAACTTCTGCGCGCGCGGACCCAATGAATTCGTACCTGGCAAACCGCAGCGAGGGACATTGGGGACTTGCCTGGTTCTTCGTGAAACAACCAGGGGACACACCCTAGAGTTTTGTCTGGGGTGGTCTGGGGCAGCTGTCAGGGAGGGTTCCGGAGGGTTCCAGGAAGGTTCCGGGGCTGTTGGGGATACCACCTCGGTTTATGTCCTTTGGGGTACCATCCAAAATGGTTGGACATGATGATCCACAAACAAGTTTCACAAAGGCAGCAAAAAGCTGTTTAACTCCGCGTCCCCATCCAACTGTTCACCGCCCCCGGGCCATCACAAGTGCTTGGAGATATGTTGCCCATGATTTTTGGAATGGAGGCGCTCTCGAGTTGCATACATGGGGTTGTTAAGGGCACCCCTTGTTTTGAAGGGACGCCACCAGCAGGCCTCTAACTTAGACCGGGCTGGCAAAGGGCCTTGTTTGGCTGGTGCGGTTGGGCGACTCAGGTGACCCTGTCAAACACGCGGGCCATGACAGCAGGTTGGGTGATCACCAAAGGTTTCTCAGAGATTTGTTAGAGACAGCTGTACAGGTTAATGTGTGGAGAGCCTTTCCAGTTGTTCCGTCTTCGTCCGATTTCCCTTGCTTCAAAGGTGGCTAAAATAGAAGAGCTTGCCACCTCTGGACTGTGGACTTTGAGTTCTCATTTCCCCGTCCCAGGTTTCCATGCTCATCGACACAGAGCTGCAAGCGCTGGACCAGCAAGACGCCACGGATCGCATGGGCCTTCCAAGCCAAGCGCCCGCGTCGGTTTCGGCCGTGGCGCCGCCCAACCCCGTCCCTCCGACGGCGCCTGCGCCGCGAGCCACGGAGACGCCCCGGGTGCCAGCCACGCCGGCCACGCCGGCACCAATGCCGGCCACGCCAGCACCAGTGCCGGCCACGCCAGCACCAGTGCCTGCGGCGCCCACTGGATGGCGGCGGAGGTGAGAGCTGCTCAAGTCTGAGGGGACGATTTCGTAGCCTAGTGTGACAAGACGGAGAGCTCAGTTTTGAAGTGCTGACTGCCATCCAAAAGTGGCAAATGCCGACAGTTTCTGGAATGGCGGGCCAGTCCTGGACTCAGCCTGGCTGTTTTAAGCAGAAGCCGGCAGATGCAGATTTCAGGGGCGTGTTAGTCCTTCTAGCTTAGTCGACGTTGCCCTGAGTTGGTCATGGCACGTTCCAAAAGCGGCCTGAGAGGGGGGGGGGGTCAGTTGTCCGGAAGGCCGAACCAGTTCGTGAGAAGTCAGAAGGTTCGAAGGTGAGGCGACCTTTCCGGCATTTCGGCAGCCTTTCCAGAAATGCAAACATGCAGGTAACTTCAAATCCAAGTGATCCACAGCCTTCGACATTCTCGGTTGGGCTGGATGCATGAGCGCTGAGAATCACCTGATGTGCTAGAAAACGAAGTGATACCTGCCCCTAGGGTCAAAAGCCATGTTGTTTATCCCAGTTGTCCTTTGACGGCCACGTTGGAAAATGCTGACTCACGGATCAAACCATGTGAAGTTATTGTAGATGCAGAGCATTCAGAAGACAAGCAGGACCATGTTAATTTTACGACGTAATACCATTGAAGATGCAGCTCAATAGAAAAGAAAGAAAGAACATTCTACGATTGCTCATCACCCTTGCAACTTGAACCAAGTTTGGCAGTACCAGGTGGTTGCATGGCTCTGGGTCAAACATGGGTACCCGAAATGGAACCCTGGTAAATGGAACCCATGACTAAACCAGGCGGTCCCGTGGTGGTTTAATTTTGACCCACACCCACATGGCTGTGGGTCAAAGCCAATGGTACCATTTTGGGGTGGGGCTTGGGATGTTCACTGGGGGCTAACCGGGCTTTTGACCCATGGCCACATAGCAACAGTTCCGTTGGGGTACAGTCCAAGCCACGAGAGTCGATCTGTCTCCAGGTGCACCCGAAGGAGGAGTGCCCCTTCCAAGGTGCCGGGCTCGGTTGCAGAACGAGTCGGTCGGATCTCGTATGCGCAGTCAGCCAAAGGTGCTGTTTTTTTCTTTCTAGGAAGCTGAAAGCTATACCCCTTAGTTGGTGGTTTGGATTGGTTTGGATTCGGATTTGAGTGGTTGGAAACCACTTCCAAACCTCACCACCAAACCAAACCACCAATTTGAGGAAGGCGGATAAAGGGATTCTTACCGAATTGCTGTTTTGCGAGTTCGGACGAGCAGGGTGCCGGTCAGGGTGCTGCTTAGGGGCTGATGTGCAAGGTGCTGTTTGGTGTACCCAAGGCACGGCGCAGTTGCTATTGTGGTTGTTTGGCGATGTGTGTTTTTGTGCTGGTCAGGGTGCTGTTGTAATCTCCCATGCTATTTGGGGTCTATGCTGGTATGTTTTGTCCATTTATTTGGTCGTCTCTTGTTGGTAGCAATTTTAGGTCAAGGCCCCAAAGAAAAACAGGTGATACTTTGGCTTTCAGTTCCGTTGGACCACAGTCTTGTTTTTATTCCCCAGACAGCTGAAAGCTATAGGAGTTCTAACTTCAAGTAAAGAAGGGGTGGGCGAGGCAGGGTGCTGTTGCAGGCTGCTGCTGCAAGTCGAGACTTAGCAGGGTGCTGTTGCAGGCTGCTACAGGCAGGGCGCTGTTGCAAGGTGTTGCTGCAGGCCGAGACTCAGAGTTCCACAGCCTGGGCGTCGCTGCAGATTCCCCGGATGTCGGCTTCAAGATCTTCGGCTCTGGTTGCCCGGTGCACCGAAAATGAGAAGGTTTGTCATAGCCGGGAAAAATCTTGACCTGGTCGACATACTGCTTGAGCAGCTGCTGTAGGACAACGGCCATGGGAACTTGAGATCGGGGTGTGTCGCTCGTGGTTGACGTAGCTGGTCCTGACGTACTTGTGGCCCCGTTGGCCCACGGAGTATCCTTGAGAAGCCGCTGTGGCTCACGCCTTGAGTTGAATCGTGGGCGTAGCAGCCGCAGCAAGGTTGGCCAGTTTGCAAGAGCGCGCACGTCGCGCAAGCGCCCCATGCAGATGCACCTCCCATCCACCGGGATTTTCCGTCCATTGGGGGTGCTTGCCGCACGCGTCGGTGAAGCAAGCCATTCAGGAGACGATCCTTGGGCGCTTGGCTTCATCGGAAGGGGATTTGATCACTTTCTAGATTTAAGGGATGACCAGAGCTGGATCGGCTTCGAGGTGGGCAAGATCCTTTCTTGAAGGGATGTGAGCGCTTCCCGGCGCTGGGCCTTGCAGGCTCACTTCAGGCGGACTGGAGGCAGCTGGAGCAGGGATTTTGGGTTTTGGAGGATGCCGGTCCGGGGCCTTTTGTGGAAACATGGGGATCACTTTCTGCACTGCTAGAAGAACTCCCCGAAAAAAGGTGACAACGTCTTGGGGATGGAATCCGCAAGGTTATTTTCCACCAACTCATTTGTTTTTTTTAATTTTTCATTTTTTGTGTGGGGTGTTGAGCCTTTTGAAGGGAGACTGAGATCCGCGCGTGGTTAGGTGCTGTCCCCGCGCCGGAGCCGCTAGGTGGGGATGTCAATGGGTTCGGAGGGAGTAGAAAGGCACCAGAGCCACCGCTCTTCGAAGAGGACCTCTGGTTTTGCAGTTTGAGCAGCCTTTGGGCAGAAAAATTGGTTTGTGCTCGTTTTGTTGCAGCCAAGTATTGCGCTGTGCTGGATGTCTCTGGGAGCCAGGAAGGAGGTCTTCGATTCCACCTGTCCTAAAGTCCTAAAGTACTGTGCAGCGTTTGGCGATGGCACTAAATCGAATCTCTGGGACTGATTCTTGTCGTTTCATTGTGCGAAGGGGACCAGCTATTTCGAACGCACCTAGGACCTTAGGGCGCAGCCATTCTTTTTTATATAAAGGAAGTCTTCCTTGTCAAGAAAAACAAAACAGCTGCAACACCGCTAAATGGGTCAGTGTGCCAATTGGCGCGGCCGCAACATCCGTTTTTTTCGCTTTACGGTTTCCGGTCAAAAGAGCCGACCTCGGATCGCAGGTCTGCCTCAGGCACCCGGCTCCCCGCGGAGGCGCCTCGGAAAAGAGTTCCCATCGTCGTTTGTTTCTCTTTTTCTTTTTTTTCCCGGTCGTTTTTTGTCTTCGGACATGCGACGCTTTTTCCTCAGTGGACAGGGAGGTTTCCCAAAGGGACGGTTTTCGTTTTCCCCGAAAGATGAAAACTATGGGGGGTCTCTGCCCAGGGAGCTTTCCTAAAGGGACAGTTTTTTTTTTGTTTTTTCGAAAAAAGATGAAAGCCATGGTTTTTTTGGCCAGATAGGCCCTGGGGTGGTTTGTAGCTTTCAGGAAGATCAAAACTCCTGCAAACCACCCTTTTGGGGGGTCGCCCAAATTTTGACACATGCCATTTGAGCCTGGAGTTTGAAAAATACGGTTGGGAGAATGGAGATGGCACGATGACGAGGGCCTTTTTCAAGAGGTATTCCAAAACTCTCCTGTCCATTTCCGCGATTGTTGGAAAGAAGGAAGTCAATCGCCTAGCATACACATATCCATTCATGTATGGATGTTTCTAAAGATGACGATTACCATCCAAAGGAGTCCATGTTTTGTGGACGCGCCAGCTGGATACAGAACACGGATTCTCCGAACATGGTACATGTGCTAACCAATAACCCAGGAAAGCATGGATGCATGCCCTCCCTGGCTTGACACCTCGACGGGTTCCTTCCAGCCCGCGTCTCGAGGTCAAAGCGAGTCTGATCCCCAAAAACAGGCACTGCCCAAACTTACCCTCCAACAATCATGAAAGCTGACAGAAAGGTGTGGCAAAAAGACTCCCCAACAGCTCCGGCACCCCTGGACCTTTCCCGCTTTTGCTTTGATTGAAGCGGCTGCCTTCGCCTCAAACTCAACATCCACTCGCTAGGATACCTGCCACTGGCACGGTATCGCCGTCCATGTCTCTGCAGCCGTCGCAGTCTGCCAGTGCCAGGCGCGGCGGGCAGACGCACGTCGGTGGTTGCATACGGGTTATGTTGTGTTGTGGTTTCCCCGTAAACCGAAGTTGGAAAGGGGTACGCAACAAACACAAGCTCGTGGCTTTTGATATGAGAACGTTACAGGAGCTACGATGTGGCCGCTGGGGGACTTTTGACACGGGCTCTTGCGCACGGATGAACCAAGGCGGCCTCTTGGCCGCCAACTTTTTCTCCGAAACTTGACTAGAATGAGGCCTCGGAAAAGTGATCCACGGTTGTTCCGGTAAAAAAAGCGAACTCGTTATTGGGAAGGCCTTCCAGTGATACCAAGATGACGCCGTGGCCCACCCCTCGCTGTTTCCTGGGTAGCAACACGGGCCTGCGTTTGTGGAAAACACTCATGGCCAGCAGAGAAAACTCCTAGCTGGGGCTCCAGATTTTTGAATTCACACATGTCATCATTACAGTGGTGGTGACGTATTTGGCTCCTGTGATTGTTTTCACTCGCAACCATTTGAGAGGCACATCCACATCCGGTCTGCATCCTTTTTCAAGGTTACCCTTGTTGGGGTTGTTTCAAAGGACTAAGGGGGTCCTCTTTGCAAAGGGCCTGGGACTGCGGACTGCCCGACACCGGGCAGCATGACTTCGCGACTTCGCCAGGCATCAGTATGTGGAGCAAGCGATCCAAGTTCTGAATGACAGCCAGAAGCTGGGCAAGAGACATGGGCGCCTGTTTTTTTGTGGGTACCTTTGGGTGGTTAAGGGCAACCAAGGGCAAAACCACAAGTTGTTGGGTTCCCTCATGTTGATACATACCATAGGGCCCTTTCAGTGCACGTTTTGATGGGGTCTCAAAATTAAACTTGGCAGGGACCCTGGTTGTGGCACATGCGGAAGGCTCCCTAAAACAGAGGAACTCAAGATGGTGGTCGATCCCCCATTCTTTTCACCATCGTGAGAAACAACTAAGACCCTGTAAAACACAACCCATGATCAGAGATTCTCTCTTGGGAAGGGGCCTTTTACATGGAATGTGACTGAAAGGGTGGTTTTGTTGGCTCGCTTGTCGGAAATTTCGGCTGGTACTGGACGAAATCTAATGGGGGCTCTCCCACCTCATTCTTGCCCCACCTGTTTTGCATTGCTTCCAGGTATGTGAAGGATGCCAAATTGAAGGGTTTGGGAGGTTTCCAAAAAAACGCGGTGAGACCCTCCGGCGTTTGGTTTTATCCTCTGCACGCGATCAAAGAATTGGGCCCCCAAAGTAGGCTCCTCGTGTCACCTCCCCATATGTCGACATCGGGGCAATATGGGTACCCTTGGCCCTCACTGTAAGCCATGACTGGGTGATGCGATTGGTTGGGGGCAACTTCCCCATTCTGAACCCGGGCTTGTTTCCATCGGGGAAATGGCCACTGAAAAAAACAACAATGGTTGAACAGAATGCGCAATCTTTCACTGGATGGTGCCCAAAACGTGGGTGAGTTCAAAGAGAAATCAAGGGGAAGCCACCCGTTTTGTGGTTTCATCCAATTTGGAGACACACGCTGTTGGTCTTAGCGGGAAGGGGGGGGAGGGGACAATAGGGGGGGGGGGGGGGACAAAGGGTGATGTCGCGTTCTTCAGCCCAGGAACACCGCCATCTTGACCGCGGAGCATCAACAACAGGAGCTGCGCCTGGAAGAGAAACAACTTCCCAGGGAAGCTCGTTTTGGGACCCAAATGCTCACACAATGGACAGAAGATGTGCGTGGGAAAAAAAACGGCGCATGTGAGGAATTTCTGTGGGTTGCAAGCAAGGAGCGTTCCCTTTCAAATGGAGCCCATGTATGTTGAACCGAGGGCTTTCGACCACAGCGCATGTTTTCGACCACCTACCTTCCAGTCGGGTTTCCCTCTGTCCCCAAACCGTATTGAGGTTTTCTTGGGAACAAGTGGAGGTGGCCTCTTTTGACTTTTGGGTCGATCTTGACATGGAACCGATATGGACCTATCGAAACCTGAAACCTCAAGGGTCCAGACATCACTCCCCCGCGCTTTGCTTGAGACCTTACCCTTCATCTATCCTGATTAGCGAGGGGCGCCAATGTTTGCTGTGTGCGTGTGTGTCATCATAGAACCAAATGGCCATGCCATGCCATGCTCTCTGATCTGAACGACTACTTCCCGCCTCGAAGTTGGGGTCCAAGTGTGGGTGAAACCACACCATGGTGATCGAGCAACAGACAGCAGCGCACTCTTGTGGGTATGTGCCATGCTCCAAACATGAAAAGCGCAGGCTTTGATCCTAGATTGTTTCTCTTAGATATTCGTTGCAGGGGATGGTTGTAGTGGGGCCCTGAATAGGCCTTCTCGTGTTCTATCAATCAAAGCGCTATTTGAATTCATGATCACAAATTCCTTCGAGCAATGCAGGTCATCTGAGGCTAGTTTCTTGCTGGCTGTCCGGTTGATTTTCGCATCCTGACCGACCATGGACCCTAAGCTTGTTCCAAGTGCAAAGAGACAACCCGTTGTGACTTGAGAAACCGCATGGGTCGGTCTTATTCGTCCAAAGTTTTGGGACGCCAAAAGGAAGCCACTCATTTTTTGGGGAAGCCACCCATCAGCTGCTAATTTTTTGTTTGGTTTAGTGGCAGTTTCCACGAACCCCACTAAAAACAAAGGCCAACCTTTTGCAGGGGATCTGACACCGGACAGCCCAGACAGAGGGGTTCGCGGATTTTCGATTTTTCTTTCCGGCCATGGCATGCGGGCCCACCATGGTCACCTTAGCGCCTGCGCCAAAACGGGGCGATGGCGCGAGGCGGTTGGACGTAGACGCGTTTTGTGGGGGAGGGCTTCCAGGAAGGTCCAACTCAGAGGGAGGAAGAGCACCTCTTCTTTTTTGTTGTTCTCCAAAACTCCTCATGCACCTGGTCTTTCCCCTTCTGGTGAAATGGATTTTCTTTGACACCTTTCTGACATTCTCAGGTTCCATGGCGGCCAACACGAAGGCCCAGCTTGATGAAGCTCCCCGATGGTACTTGCGTTTCGACAGAGTTGTTAACCACCAACTGCTCTCTCTTTCTCTCTCTTTCTCTCTTTGTTTTTTTTTCTCTCTCTCTCTCTGTTTCTTTCTTTCTTCCTTTCTTCCTTCCTTTCTTCCTTCCTTCCTTCCTTTCTTTCTTTCTTTCTTTCTTTCTTTCTTTCTTTCTTTCTTTCTTTCTTTCTTTCTTTCTTTCTTTCTGTCTCTCTCTCTCTCTCTCTCTGCGGTTTTTAGGGTACCATCTCTTGAAAGGGACACCAACATGACAACCGTTATTGGGGTCCCCCATTTGACACATCCCCAACTAGCAAGATGTTTGAGTATGTGAATGGGTCAAAGATCAAGTCAGATGACACATCAGCGCCGCCGCAGCCAAAAGAGGTGTTGAGCGATGATATGAGTGGGGGCAGATGATGATGATTCATTTGCAAAGCAAATCGAAACCTAAGGACTGTCAAGGCTGAACAGGGATGCGCAACCAACCAGGAGGATTTGAAACACCTGGAGCTTCTGCTCATGCAGAGATGGACGGTCAAAGGTACAAGGTGAATCTCCCAATTTTCCGTCGGCAGACCTGAATGTGATGCGGACAGGCTTGTAGGTTTTCTGCAAGCTTGCCGCAAGAGACTCCTTGCCTTTTCCTGCGCTTTCAATGCCCACAGATGGCTGCCAAAGGGTTTTCTTTTATCCCAGCCCAGCCGGGGGGGGGTAACGGTTCCTGTTCAAGTTTTCCTCCCCATTTGGGTATGGGTCAAAATTAAACCACCAGGGGACCGCAGGTTTTGATCCATGTTTCCACTTACTGGGGTTCCATGTGGGGTACCTATTTTTAACCCAGAGCCATTTCTCGCGCTGAAGAACGGATCGATCGCCCTTCCAATATCTGCGGAGTCGGGCCGTGCGGCTTCGCATCAGGCCATCGCGGTCTTGGGGCAGATGCGCTCGGAACAGGCTGCGGGGACTTCAAGTAATACCCCCCCCACCCGAAACGTCAGGTTCCACGTTAGTTGGTGGGAGGGTAATTTGGCTGTGGGACAAAACCAATGGTACCATTCTGGGGTAGGTGAAATCACCACCCATTTTAGAACCTATTTGAGTGGGGGTTGGGATGTTCACTGGGTGTACCGGATTTTGACCCATGGCCATTTATGTTTGTGTTTTGCGGATGCCTTGGGTTGGGGTTGTTGTAAAGGAAACCCAACAGCCCATGAATTTGATTTCTTTCTTTGGGCTCATGTAGAAAAAACATCAAGAAAAAGGGTCCCGAGTTTTAGGGCAGCACCCGAACTTGGGCTTCGCAGTTTCCAGTTGATTGCTCTCCTGATTTCCATCAGGTCCTTTGGCCACATGGGCGAGAAAAGAGCGGTGCCCCTATGCGGTCATTTTGATTGATCCATATGCAAACTTGTGCGGTGAGACACTTGCTGGTGCAGTCAACTTGCGGCCGGGGCAAAAGCCATAGGGCCCTCGCCAAAAAGAATGCAAACGAGGATTGAAACCCTGCGATTTCTTCGGATATACTGATATACTCTTTTTTTTTCAAGGCACGCTCTTGTTCTTGCGTGGGCGTATATGCTATCAAGGCAACATAATCATCAATCTGCTTCCTACTCCCAACTGCAGAAGCCGTTGCGTTTGGTGTTGCAGGCATGCCAAGGCCCGGATTATGGGGTAGGGTCAAAAGTATTGGTTTCTGCGCCAAAAGAAAGGCATCGAGATCTCCGCCCTTGACACAGGTTGGAGATCTGGTTGGCCTGCGCCCCTGTAAAGCAACACCAGGGGTCTGTCTTTTTTTGGAGTTGGTACCCCCTGTTTTGCGGTTTCACGAAAACCAAAGCAATAATATTTGTTTTTCATTTTTTTCCATCGGAGCCTCTCGCCATTTTGGGGGTGGTTTTAGTTTCACAGCAAAACGGAGACTCTCGCCATGGGTGTGTGTGAAAGACTTGGGGCCAGACTCCCAGACCCCCGGAGCAAGCTACAACCCAGGCGGTGGTCCATTTTGCGTGCCCGGTAGGATTTTCCAAGCGCGGCAGGGTATAAAGACCACCCATGCCCGTGTCCGAAACTCCATAAAAAGATGATGTATGTGACAGAACAGGGTCCAACCTATACTCATGGGGGCTGAGGGGGAGGGAGGGGTAAGCCCTTAACAAGGTCTCAAATAGTTCCTCTTGGGGTCCCTCCCCCCTCCCCTCCCTCCCCCCCCCCAGCCCCCATGATACCAAAAAAAACACCGGGCCGCGTTCCCCGCTGCCCGACCTCCACGAGCCGCGCCAGCCGCGAGGTGTGGCCCTCGGTGGTGTCCTTCAACGCGGCCTGCAGCGCCTGCGCCAAGGGAAGCCGCTGGCGCCAGGCGCTGCGTCTGCTGGCGGAGATGCCACGCAGCCAGGCGGCTGGGGCCCGGGGCCCGTGGCTGGGGGCGGCTGGGCGGCTGGGCGGCTGGGCGGCTGGGCGGTGTTTCTCCGTGAGGAAATGGGCCCGTCGTTGTTGAGTTGGGCTTTCCTGGTGGGTGTTAAGGGGGAAACACATTATTTTTGGTACTCCTGGTGGGTTTTAAAGGGGAAAAACAGTTTTGTTTTTTGGGACAAGAGCCTTGTTGGTTTTTGGAAGGGAAACGGAAAGGAACATCGGTTCTAGAGGGAGCTAAAAGGTGAAGCCGTCTTTGAGAGCAACCCAGGTACAACAGCCCTTAGGGGGACCTTATCGAAAACTGCTTTTCCATTAAATCTAGGGTGAGGGGGGTGGGTCTAGGGATCATGGCCTTGTTTTGAGGGTTACCATAAGGACAATTGGGGCTCAAATGCTCAAACGATGAGAATGTGGGCGTGTGTTTGTTTGATGGCATCCTTTCCAAGGTTGGTTTGAAGGGACACTAACAGGAGAACTATATTTTGTTTGGGGTTACTCCACTTGGGCAATGCCCAAAAGGGCCTAAATAGTTGTTGTTGTGGGGTACCCTGGGTTTACCATGATGATGGGGTCGTGGGGACTTCAAAACCATATCTCTGATGGGAGGGGTCTAAAAAAACCAGACTTCCCAAGCTCCCTCAGGCTCCTAAGGTTTTGCGGGGTGGGGTCGCTGGGCTGTGGCCGAAGGAAGTTGGGGGTGGTTTGGACATTCTCGGTGGGGGGGAGGTGGTGAGAGATGTGTGTTCGCACATACTTTTGGAGCCATTGGGGGTTTCAGGCTGTTTCAGGCTTCCCAAAGCTTGAGTGTATGTGTTGAGATGGATGCTTGGAAGGGGTTGGGTAGGGTTTTGTCGTGTTTTTCGATCGTGGGTTGGTTTGGTGGACTGGTAGGTTGGTTAATTTTGTAAGGGCTTTGGAAGCGTGTCCGTGCTTTTGCGTTGGGGTGCCAATTTGTGCATGAGCTTCTTTTAAATACCAAAGGGTTATCGTGTGCGATCCTGCTTGAAATGGAGAAGCTACATCCATGTCAGGGTGATTCCTCAAATATGCGAGCCCGTATTTGTCCCCTTGGCACGTGCCGCTTCTTTCATTCAATCCTGGGGTTCTGATCCCTGAACCAGCTACTGGCTTGAGTCTGCCCATTCTAATCAGCCATCGTTGTCCAACATCAGCAATTCATTCCTCCAGGTTTTGGGGCTGGGTTTGACCGGAACGACCGGAAAGATTTGACATCCTTTCTTTTGGCATTCTCTCCTGGTTCTTTGCGGGTTTTCCGGCTGGCAAGAGAGGTGCAGCCGAATGCCCGTAGCTTCAGCGCCTGCGTCAGCCCGGGCACCCGTCGAAAAAAACAACATCCGAGGGGCCTTGGGGCTCGGGGGTGGGGGAGGTGAGCGAACAGCCCATGAAGATTCGTGATGTCAACCGCTGATAAACAATACCCCTCGCTTGTTTTTGGGGGGCGGTCCCTATTGAGTGGGGAGTCTTTTCTTCCAGGGGGACCCTGATTGATAACGGGGGAGTTTATCAATCAAGGGTTAACATCGCTCGGGGATTCCCATTCCGGTTTGTGAAGTTTGCGGTGCTGGCACCGCGGAAACGTGAGGCAAGGAGGAAGGTTTGTGAAGTATGAATAAGTTGCCCAGATAGGCGTCCTTTCAGTTTGATGGATACATTTGGCTGGCTTCTCTTTGGTTTTCAGTTGCCACTACCTGTCCATTTTCCAAAACACCCGAAACCTCGCTTCGTTGGTCCGGCGCCCCTGGTCGGTGAAACCATCCAGTCTCTGGTTCATTGAGGGGCATGAGGGACGAGGCCAGACTTTTCCTACAAAAAACCAGGGCACCAGCCCTGACTTGTCCTGTGGAGACGCGTAGCTGCGGGGTACCCTTGTGTAAAGTATGATCGGCAAGTAATTGGGGTTTGCTAGCAAGGTGATGGGGACTGCAGTAACTCCTCAACCCATCTTATCACCGCACTTTATTCCTTTGCCCATGAGAGGTTTTTGAGGAACTCGTCAGCTCCGCGACTTGTTGGTAGTCCTTTTTGTTTTGCCGATGCCAAGCGTTGGCATCCCAACCTGGTCGAAAACTGCTGCTTTGCAAATGTATCATGGCTTTGCTCGGCTGTTGGGCCGGCAAGACCCACAACCAGTAACCTCCACCGACCTTTCCATTTTTTCCGCTTTGGAAATGCCAGCCTTTACATTCATGGGAATATGTTCGCCCCATCCTTCTGCTGGTGCAATAGGTTGCAAGTTGTGGCATCCCCTCCTTCAGCGTGTCAAAGTCTGAATGCCAACTGGATTCAGGAACTCATATTGGTTCATTCCGCAGTGAGACCAGATTGCCTAGCCCCGACTGTGGCGACGTGTGCGGTTGAACAGCTGATCGCAGGCCAAAAAGAACATTCTGCCCTACCTCCAACAAACCCCCTGGAAGGCTATCTTCCAAGGGGCCCTCTGGTGCGCTCCAGTTTGGTGGACAGGAAGATGCAAGCCCAACAGAGAAGACACGAGCAAAGCAAGCGCATGGCATGCCGTGCCCTCCAAGAGACTCAGCCTGTAGGTGATCCGGGGGGACGACCAAACACCAAGCTGTGAGGTTTAGTACATGCTACACACAACTTTTCCGAGCCGTCTTGAAAGGAAGCTGCCCTCTCGGGATTGCTTTAAGTGGAAACAAAAACCCATCTCTCAGGGCTTCCCTTGGACTTTTTCTCTTGGGGGTATACGGTATACCCCCTTTTGGGGTACCCCCAAGAAGACACCCGAAGACCTGCAATTCGCTGGAGGTCTCCCGATGTCACGGACGCTTTCGTGCCAAGGCGCCACAGAGAAGTGCCGGCTCTGGAGAATGTCGCTGCACCTGCTGGGGCCGGGTAAGAGTCACGGTCTTCGTCTCCAAATCGCGAGTGTAATCTTGGGTTCCGTTGAAACTACCGCACCCAAAAGGTGTCGATCGTAGGTTCTACCTGTGCCATGCACTTGCATATTTTGCAGCCCAAGCCCCAAACACCTCAAGAAGCTGGACAGGCAACATCAACTACCCCAAGTCCCCAAACAGGAAGCCTTCCAGCAGTCTGCCCCAAAAGGAATGGAATGCCACCTTAGGATCAACGTACGTGGACACGGAATGGCCATTCGCTAGCGTCCCTAGGGGAGGGTTTTCAAAAGACGTGATGTAGGCGGCTACAAATAGAGAAGCCTTGAAATCACAGGAAGAGAACTTGCACCGGATCAGCGCCGTATTTATGCCAGCTGGTGGGAACCACTCCCGAATTTCCATGTCGCTTTGGCGATGTCGCAGCACTTACACTTCTGATGTATACTTCCGAGATGCCAACTGAAGCTGACATCGTGCACATCCAAACGCGCAGAACATGTCTTCCACTGCAGCCATGGCAGTCATGCCAACGCGGAAATACACGGCCTCCTGCGGCTTGGGAGGCCGTGGTAGAGGAGGTGCCTTCATTTCTATTGACCATTTTGTAGAGGCAAACGATTCAAAAGCAACGCCCTCATGGGCGCGGGTCAGGTTAGTTTGACTGGCTGGCTGGTAGCGACATTTGTTCAATCAGTTTGGTGAAGGCCGGTCCAACTGTTCCCCTTACTTGTGTGTTCGGCCAAGTTAGTAGGTGGTCAGCCTCCTAGCTTATCACCGACCAACAACAGGATTAACCCCTCTTCCGGCTGCCAACAACAGGATTAACCCCTCTTCCGGCTGCTTCTAAGTGGGTCATAGCTTGTAGGTTACCAGCCGTGGGAGTCAACATGGTTGCTTTCCTTTTGGTTTCCCTTTAAACCGACCTCTTAAAAGAGGGTGGGCCCCAGAGCCCCAGTTAGTTTCCCTTTAAACCAACCTCTTCCATCCCCCTTGGCTTTTCCATTGCGCCCAAGACCTAATCGATCGATCGATCGATCCGGGGGAGTCCAGCAGGCGGCAGCTGCGATCTGGGCGGATGGACGCCTTCGTGGCGACTGGGGCCATCAGCAGCTGCGGCCACGCCGCGAGGCCTGGGGGCCTGGGGGCCTGGGGTGGGGTGGGGTGGCCTGGTGGGAGCCGGGGGGGGGGGTTGGGGGTTGGTGGAGGATGGCTCAAGCGGGCCGGGGGGGGGGGGTGGTTTGGGGTTGGAACAGGCGCAAGCTGTTGCAGGTTCACTTTGGAGGTGGAAACCTTGCGCACTGGGAGTTTCGAAGGCTTGGCGCGGCTTCTCTCAGCTTCTCAGCTGTTGCTCGAGCTGGGGCTTCTAAACTAAGGACTCATTACTCCCTCTCTTGCACTCAAAAGCAAGCCTGAAGGCTCTGCCCAGAAGAAGCCTTCGTTAAGTTGTCTTTTTCTCTTTTTGAGGGTTCCCTTTCTCAACAGGGAAACCACTATTTTGGGGGTGCTCCGCTTTGACACGCATAGAGACGTGCCTGATGCGTTACACTCCCCTGGCGCATGGAAGGCGGCCCAGCCGCCCAAACCACTGGAATGACGGGGGGTATGCAGTATGTCCTGGAGCTCCCTTCATGGGTACATATTGGCTGTGGGTCAACACCCAGGAAACCCCGGGTGAAAGTCAAGATGGTACATGGGTGTTCATCCGCCCCAAAATGGAGGCCTGACCCACCATATTTCAGAGTATACCAATCAGAGATATAGTTTGGTGAATGGAGCTGGACCTTAGCCTCAGCTCCTGGGGGGATGTTTCGGTTTGACCTCAGGTGGCAGCAGGCCTTGCAAGTCTTCGCGGAGCTGCGGGCGCAAGGCGCCCTCAGCTCGCAATCAGCGAGCTGGCAGCTCAAGCCAAACTGGGTCCAGAAAGCCAGCTCAAAGTTACCCAGCATGGAACCCGGCAAATAGAGCCAGGGACTTAAAACCTGCGGTCCAATTCCTGGTGGTTTTTATTTTGACCCATGCCCAGTTGGCGGCTATTTGTAAAGCGAGTTTGGTTGAACCTGGTTGGATTCCATTGGTGTTGCATTTTGGTTCGAGACTATGTCGGTGTTGAGGGTAGAATCATTTTAGCTTTTCAAGGGAGTCCAACGGGAGACTCTGAGACAAGTCTTATAATGGAAAGTCTGGGAAAGGGTGTTTCCAGTTCTCGTCAAAGGCGTGCAGGTCTGCTTTGAGATGGACACAGGGTGGACAATGGCAAATTCCTCATTTGGGGTCTGTCTGTTTTGAGTTGGTACCCCCCCCATGTTTTGAAGGAAAGCCAAAAGGAAAGCCATGTGCTTTTGGGGCGTCCTAAAAGCCAACACACCCGTAAAGAGAGAGTTGTGCCATCTATCTCAACTTGTCATGAGCGTTGTCCCATCTTTGACTCTGGTGTAGACCCCGTCCGCTACTCCAACCCTCCAACCCTCCAAACCTCGAATCTTCCAACCCTCCAACCCTCGAACCCTCCAACTCTCCAACCCTCCAACCCTCCAACACTCCAAAACTCCAACCCTCCAACCCTCCAAACCTCCAACCCTCCACCCAAACCGAGCCGAAGCAAACCGAACAAAACACGCCGGAGGCGGGGCGCCGAGCCTCCACGCGCACTGCGCGGCGCTGGCGGCCCTGGGCAATGCTGCGCACTGGCGCGGCGCCGTGGAGATGTACGGGGAGCGAGCGGTCGACAGGGGTGGGGAGGGTAGGGGGGAGGGGAACCCCCTTTTGAGGCCGCAAAGGGAAACCAGATTTCGTGTTGTCTCGATTTTATTTATTTATTTGTGTTGGAACTCCCTTTGGTCATGAGGGTAAAGGAATGGGTATTCTATACGTGAAGTAAATCTTCGTGGCACAGGGGAAGATGGTGGTCTTGGGGGAAGTGGGGTTGGAGAGACCAAAGCTGGTTCCTGAAAGATTCGACCATTACGATACTGTGTGCTTTCCTGTGTGTTTGTGCCCGCTTGAAGTTTCTTTCGGTGCACCAAATGGTCTTGACAGGACGCAAACAGGAATGTCACTTTTTGTTGGTGTCCCCTATTCCAAGACAGACCCCTATATCGTGAGCTTTCCTTGCTGTGTGGGAATGCGGGGTTGGTTCCCACTTCTGTGACATGAGGAGACCTCTCCCTGAACTGGAAAACATGTGATTTGGAAGGCTTTCCGCTGGTATCGCGGAAGTGGGCAGTTTCCACCACCCTGTTTTACGGCCCAGCGGGTTTGTCTTTTTTGAGGCTTGGTATGCAGGTTGGTTAAAAGGCAATCCGGGAATCCAGGAAGCCGTTGCCACTTCATGTCGTTTTTAAGGATGAAAACCCCAAAACAAGGCAACAACCACGAACTGGAGCAGTACACAACTCTGCGGTTTCCTTTGGTTTCTCTTTAACACAGACCAACATGGGGTACCCTCGAAGAAAAAATCCCCCCCTCACCCCCCCCCCAACCCGCCCGGAGGAGGCGCTGGCAGGTCTCGAGCCGGACGCGGCCCTGCATGGGGCGGCGACGCCCGGCGCGATTTTTGGGGCGGGCGAGTTGTTGTGATCTTGGGGGTTTGTTGGTTGTGAATTCGAGTTTGTCTTGTTATTTTTGTTGCTATTTATTTTCCTGTTTACTATGATTGTGACGGCTGGCAAAGCCTTGCCAGGCTTGTCCTCGCAGCTTTTACTGGCAGTCGATAGCCTTGGCTTGTAGGGTGGGCAGAACCGCGGAATGGTGGCACGGGACCAACAGTTGTCTTGTCTGTGCGCCTTGCTTGCCTGTACGGGCTGGGTTCATGACTGCTTGCGTGGGGTGGCCCGTCTGGGACTTGAACTCCAACCGGAGGGGTGTAGCGGAGGCCGCGCTGCGGTGGCGGGAGGGACGGTTTCCGTTGGCCGCAGAGCCCTGCAGCTCGCTCCATCCATCCATTATGATTATGATGATGAGTACTGCTATTATTATAATTAATGTTATTGCCTTTTTCCATTTTATTGATGATTGCCATGTCTTTATTTATCAGTTTTTTTTTGGTTATTATTATTGTTTGAATATTTGTTTTGCTTGTAGGGTGATTTTACTCACTGCAGTTGTAAGGGGGAACGGCAACACCTTCCAAAAGGTTGGTGTCTTGACCTTTGTCATAATCCTGTCGGGCTTGGCTGAACCAAACACAAGTTCGCTGGGGGTAAAACAGGCGATTCCACCCTAGGGAAGGTCCCTAGATTTCTTTGAACACCATTGTATTAGACGCTTTTCAGGTTGGCTTCCAAGGAAAGCACAAGGGAAAACACCAACCCGTGGATACTTTTGACACATTCCACACCAGCTTTGGGACCGCTTCCCAGGATGGCAGCACTGGCACAGGGCCGGCAGTGGCGTTTGGCTGTCTGGCTGTTGGACACGCTGCCTGAGGCGGACAGGAGCGTGCGTCTTGGCCGATTGCTGATGTCTGGACAGGATTGCTCCGAGCCGTTAACGGATGATCGAAGCACAAGGCTACGAAGTGGTACCCAAAAGTGCAGGGTTGCTCTTGGAGATATGCCACACTCGTCCTAAGAAAGCGGTCAAAGGGAGGGTCTTGATTGGTATGGGGTTATTTTGTTTTCCGTTTCCAGGGAGCAACATTCTACACTTAGAGCACTTCATGGCGAGGTTTACAGGGGTTTGGTGGCCATGGATCCCTTTGAGTTGTTCAATCGGTGGTGAAGACAGGTTTCAACCCAGGCAAAAGCCCAAACTGTTTGGGATTCTTTCAGAGTGGGCCCGAGCCTTGGTTGGTTGGATGAATCAGGGGAGTCGAAAAATGGGTTGTGGTTCCAGGATGTCCTGAGTCCCTGAGCACATGAGACGGAATCTCAAAATGGAGAAGTTTGGGAATCCCTATTTATAACACTAGGGATCCGCACCACTTTTCGGCCCTGAAAGTCGATGGGACAAAACACATCCTCAATGGTTTGCCCGCTGAAATGCCCTAGCAGTAGACCTATGTGGCACCCTAAGTGTGACCCCATTCTTATATATATATATACATAATACGGGTGTATTGTTTTGTTTGGGGACCCCTCCAACAGTTGTTTGGTTTGATTTTGGTTTCCCTTTAACACCAACCAAGCAGGGGTAGCCTCAAAATTTCTGAAGTACAGCGCTCCAACGCCCAACCCCTCGCCTCAGGCCCCTTGTCACCTCCTTCCTGCGTGCTGCCGCTGGCCAGTGGCAGTTCGCGCTGCTCACCTTGGCACAGCTGAGGCGGCAGTTGAGGCGGATGCGGCCCCGCTCGCTGGGGTCTCGCTGGGGCTGGCTTCTGCATGGACTGCCTTTTTCGTAGTCTTTTGCGGGGAGCAAAGTAAAACTCCGGCTTCCTAGACGAATTCATTCCCAGCCAAGCATCCAAAACATTCTTCATGGCCACCATGGAGCCTCAGATCGATGGTTTCCAAAGCCAGCCCCAGGGGTTCAATAAGATTTACAGCCACCCGCACTATAGCCCTGCTTTCCCCGTCCCGGAGCCATCTTAGATATCGTTTTCGTGTTTTCCCCAACAGCTGGAGGCCATTTTTTTTTCGGCTTCCATTTGCTTCAGAATATGTCGTATTCTTCCCCTGGTTTCAAAGGGAATCACATCCCGAAAGGCAAAAAAGCAAATGGAAGCCCGGGCGGAAAGCAAAGCCGTGCCAAACCGCTGCTTGCTGGCCGCTTGGCCAAGGGCCATGTCTAAATCAGTGCCTGGCCGGCTTAGCTGTCAGTCGCCGGCAGGCTGGATGCCCCAGCGCTGAATGCGGCCATCGGCGCCTGCGCGGAGGGGCAGGCCGGCCGGCGGAGCGAGCGAGCTTTTAGCGCGAGGGTTGGGTTTCTTTGGGTGGGCGAAGGAAGAAGGCGGCACAAATTTTGTGTTGGTTCCCCTTTTGCGCCAGAAAGAAGATGCCCAAAAGGTGTTCCCTTTCGTTTGGTTTGGGTGAAGCCAAAAGAGGGCTCAACTCACAAGGATTGGAGTCCCTCGCTTCCGAGCTGGCTTTTTTTTTTTTTTGGGGTGGGGGGGTCGTTTTTGGACCTTTCTGTGGTCTCAAAGCGGAGAAAGGCAAGGCATGAGGGTGAGAAGAGACCCTTTTGTGGGACAGGCTGCCCTAGTCAAATGCGACAGCTGCTTGAAATCGAACCATCCCACTCCGCGAGTTCCTGGGTCCTCACTCTTTGGGGAGACCCTTCCTGGTGGCAAACTCGGTACTTTCTGCGATGCCAGCGGTTGGTCTCACAATGGTATCACAGAATGCGGGTGATTTCTCGCAGCCGTGAGACATGGCAAGCCAAAGACTTGGGACTCTCTTTGGCCAATTCACCCGGTGGGAACCTATTTCGATTCAACAAAGTACAGGTGAGATTTTCTCAGAGCAATCGATTTTCTCAGATGGTGGTTGAAACAGAGGAATCGATTTTCTCAGATGGTGGTTGAAACTGAGGAATCGATTTTCTCAGATGGTGGTTGAAACAGAGGAATCGATTTTCTCAGATGGTGGTTGAAACTGAGGAATCGATTTTCTCAGATGGGGGTTGAAACAGAGGAATCGATTTTCTCAGATGGTGGTTGAAACAGAGGAATCGATTTTCTCAGATGATTGAAACGGAACACTGCCCCAACAGCTTTGCAAGTTTCCTCAGGGTTCATGGGGTCAATTTTTTTTTGAGCTCTCCCATAGGCCTGGCGCTCTGCACTGGCCATTTTGCAGGCAGAGTCGCCGCAGTTGGCCGTGGGCGTTGTCGCCAAATGGGATATGGGCATGCGGCATGGGTCACAATTGAAGCACCAGAGGGACCGCAGGTTTTGGTCCATGTTTCCATTTGCCAGGGTTCCATTTTAAAAGTAATTACCTTTTTTTGACCCACTGAAATATGGACAGCTCCACAAAGGGGTGGTTTTCTTTTGGGTGAACAAAGGACCCACACCGGGATCCAGCCCTAGTCTCACATGGACAGCCCCCATCCAGTTTTGGCATCCGAGCCCTGGGTATTGTCGGATTTGAAGCTCCGGCCGCCGGGGATCTTCCTACCAAACGCTCTCCACTCTCAATCCTCGTTTAGCCAATTAGCATTTTTTTTTTAGAATGAAGGGTTCAGCAAATGTTTTTTTTTTGTTTCTCCAGAATGAAGGGTTCAGCAAATGTTTCTTCTTCTTCTTCTTATTTCTTTTTCAGAATGAAGGAGGAGACATGGGTTTCTGGAAAGATTCGATGGGTGAGGAAAAAAAAGCCGGAGCCATAGAAATCCAGCATTCTAATGACATGAGTGTCTTCTGACATCTAACGAATGAGTGATGAATCAACCACTCCAAGATGTCCGGTGATTCTTGGAGCATATTATATATATACATAAATATATATATATATATATATAGATATGTCTACATATATCTATCTATGATATATATATATATATAAATATGTTGACATGCGTCTATCCATATTTTATCAACAACTCCAAGATGTCCAGTTCTGTAAACTACTTGGAACACTCCAGATTCTTAACCACTTCAGATTCTTTGTGGTTTCTAAAGGCCGACTTTTCGGAACCCATCCGCTTGAGAAACCGCCTCCGCTCTCGGCTCGCCAGGCGATGCGCCGTGGCTCGCCCAGGCGATCGGAGCTTAGGTGGTGCGCCACCCCCAAAAAAACCCAGAGAGGGAAAACCGGCTATCTACCCTTGATGTAGTGCATTTATGGTGGTGGTATATCCCAGTAAGGCCCTGGGGGTAGTGGTTGGGGGGTAGTGGGCACCATCTTGGAGTGGACCTAGCCAACCTTGTGCTTGATGTTATTTGCATTTCGAAGTTCACGCAATATGCACTAGAAGTAAAGACGCAGATAGGGTGACTGCTAGGTGGTTTTAGCTGTCCGGCACCGGGGACGATCCAATTGAGTTACCAAGCGCACATGCAAGGGATCGTTAGGGGAGTGTTTGGTACATAGCCCACGCCATGCCGTAGTCCCATGTTCTTTCTATGCGGGATGTGTGCCTTCAGGCAAAACATAGTTGGTGCGTTGCTTCAAAACGCTAACGAGATGTGTCGCCCCATTCCTCCCACTCAGCGGCAGAGGGAAGGCCCTCAAGACCGAGCCGCATCTCCCAAGCGTTTTAGGGAGGCACTCCCCGAAGGCATGTTCGGAGCAAGTGTGGTTGAAAGGTTTGGTAGGAACGTTCCGAGCCATTGCTGATTGGCCCATGGAAGTTGCTCGAGCAAACCAAGGGGTGTGCCTTTGTAGCGGTACCCTTTTGGGCTTGTTTCAAGGTAAAGTCAGAGGAAGCCAACGTATCTTGACGAATTCCCCTGTTTTGAGACAAGCCCAAACTCTGGCGAGAGGTGACGAGACTGACATTTCAGAGATTCATTCAAGCGAGAAGAGACACTGTTCATTTTCGTCCACTGTTTTAACAGCGATTTCGCGATTATATTTATGCGTTGCCCAAATTTGGACACCCACCGTGGAAGTCCATTTCCTACCCATTCGCTACGTGGGAGTGTCTTTTTGGAGGTACCCTTTTCGAAGGGAGATGCAAGGGAAAGCAAAGAATTGGGGGGGGCTTCCCCGAGACAACTCCGTGTGAGGAGGGGGGGGTTCCAAGGAAGCCAACGGGGTAGCAATTTTTGGGGATCCCATTTTGATCATTTAAAGGTCAGTCAGTTCGCCACCCCTGCAAGCACTTGATATGACAATGAACCTGAATGGCAACCCTTTTAACAGTCTGCAATGCTATTTGGGGTCTATGCTGGCGTAATTTGTTTGAAACCTCATCCACCCACGGAAACCCACTTAGATGGTGTGGGAATTGGCTAAGGTTTTGGTACTCCCGGCTAGCCGACTTATGTGCAACGATGAGGTTGCTCACGATTTTGTTTCTCAAAATCGTGGGCCCCCATAAATTTCACGGTTTGTTTCCGGGTTTCCCTTCAACATTTTTTTTTTTTTTTTTTGGGGGGGGGGGTCCATATTTTGAGACCCACCCCACCCCCAGCTAAGTCCCAGACCACCCAGCCGGGCGCGCAGGCCAGACGGGGGCAGCTTCAACGGCGCGCTGGCGGCCTGTGCGGCCGCCAGCCGCTGGCAGGCGATAGGGCTCTCAACCCATGGGGCTGGCGGATTCTTTGCTGAATTGGCTCGATTTAATACGCATGGCGGGTTGGTGGGTTTTAAAAACCCACTTGCTTGGATGGTCCTAAGCAGCGGTCGTAGGTCTCCGGAGACCAAGTATTTAGCCAACTGCCAGGCCATCTAAGGGATTTCCAGAACTCGGGACAGGCTTGCACAAAATGGAAGGGCGGGGGGTGAAGGAGGAAACAACTATTTGCAGGCGCCTTGTGGAAAGTGGTTGGGTTTTGGTGGCCACTTCGCGAGTGGCCAAAGTGATGAAGTGGGGTTGGTATCACAGAAACGATGCTTTTGCGCAAGGAACGGGGATCCTTCTGAGGACGGTGATGGATTTGGATCCTCGGAAGGTATCCATCATTTTGACGAACCACCCAGTTGGTCCATTTGGCTGTGAATTTTGATGGCTGGAACGTCCACCCCAAAGGCCGACAGGAAGCTTGGAGGGAACCAGTCCATGGCAAGACCCGTGTCCGATCTTTCTCCAGCCTGAGGGTTTCCTTCTCGGACCCTCCCCTGGATGGGGTTGGATTTGTTATGAGGGTAAGGGGGTGGTGATAGCCCGCCTGTTTGGAGGGAGCATCCTTCTTTGCTCTGGAAAATCAAGGCAACACCTAATTTTAGGATCCCTTTGCGTAACTTGCTGCCGTGCAGGGACGAGCTAAAGACCAATTCACAAATGAGTGAGTTGGCAGGTTGCAAACATCAGCCAGGTACGAGTTGGACAGATGATTGCGACCTCAAGAAGGTTTGGTGTGCGACATGGGGCTGAAGTCTTTTTTTTGATGGGTATGTTGTTCCGCATTATTTTGGGTTGTGAATTGAGAATTGTAGGGTTCACCCTTGATACTCGGAAACGCTCCTACACTCACCGAAAACAGAGCTTGACCAAGCAAGCGAGAAGCTGGAAATTCGAGCTGGGAGAACAACCGGGTTTATTTGCAAAAGCTGTCGTTGTCCCCCCAGCTGTTTTGAAAGAACACCGGTAGATTCACTGCCTTGCCGGCTCCCCAAGGCGAATGGAAGCTGGCAGTGTCCCAACACATTTCGACACCTCCGTGCTACACAGATCATCCTTTGGTGCAAGCTGGAAACGGTTCATGAGCGCCGGATAAAGCCCCCCCCTGACTCAAGTTTTTTGTTTGTACCAACCGACACGCCGACACTCCCACGACCCCCAAGAGTGCAAGTAAGTAGAGGGCAAGCGCTTTTTCGCCAGGCAGCCCTGTCGCTGCTGTCGGCCATGCGAGGCTTTCGGCTTGAGGGGTCCAAAAGCAACTGGCGCACGGCGCACTTCCCCGATTTCGGTTTAGTCGTGCCGTCTACTTGCCAACAGAAAGGGAGATGTGCCACCAAACAATTTTCACCCTGGTGTACGTTTTGCGCAGTGTCTCGCACGAACCAAGAGATGTCTAGAACCGAGGACTGAACCATTATCCAAGTTTACTCCGGGGGCTCTTCTGCACGAACTTGCGCCACTTTGTAGCATGTCAGCAGAGAATGCCACAGGAGCTTCGTTCTCATGCTGCTGAGGAAAGAAGCGAAGCGTATAATTTGTTCTGGGCCTGGCTTATCAATTCCGTGATCAAATATTTCCGTGACGTTGAGCACAACAGAAGCCCGCTAGGCCCACAGTTTTTCTCCATGCTTCGTCTTCGGTCGCAGTTCCAAACCCTTGGAAGAGCTCACAGGGACGAATGAATTGTGCACTTTCTTAGCTGGAACTGAGTGCAGGCGGCAGGATTTGATCACTTGTGTTGGAAAAGGGACGGCCGTGATGATCCTCTTGCTCAGTGGCACCATGACCTTTGTTTTTCCGTCTCTTTGCCTCCGATGGTTCGATAGCCCTCTTCCCCTCTTTCCTTGCCATATTGCAGCCGTTGGAGGATCTCAGAGAGGGGGCGTTTGGGGGGCGGGTTTGGATCCCATTCTTTGAGCCGGAATCAAAGAAGGCTAGTAAGGGACACTCCCAACCAGAAAAGAAAGCGGGCCGCCTTCTTAATTCTATACATGGTGTTGGGAGTCATTCGAATGCCGGGCTTTGATTTTGACTCCAATGAACCCCGTGGAGCCCGCGCCTCTCAGAAGCAACCCTGGCGCCGGACGACGTGAGCTTCAACGCCTGCATCCACGCGCCTCGCCTTGGCGCGACAGCACTGGTGCGGTTGGTTTGGTGAGGGAATGAGAATTGGAATTACCCTCAAAACACCATCCCTTCTGGTTTCCTTTAAGGGAATCCACAGGTTCATTCCCACATTGCCTAGTGAGCACCAGCAAGTTTCGTCCTTTCCCTTGACGCGGCAGAAAGGGAATTGTGCCATTTCATGGTGTTGCCGAAAAGCAAACATAGATTCTGAAACAGCCTCCCTGGTTTGGAGCATGTTCCCCTATCAGGACTCACACGAGTCCGCCGAAAAGATGCAGGCTCTGCCAGAAAAGCGTGCCTTCTCAGGGGTTCTCATGTGTGCGTGTCGTCATGTGTCTGCAGATCAAAGAAAAAGGTCAGGCATCAGGAATCAGGCATGACAGTGATTTCAACGCACCAGTGTGAGAACCATAAAGAAAGGCATTACATTTCCCAGCGATAATATGAGGCATCACCAGCAGCAAAGGCAGGCCAACAAGTCCTCATCGGATTGGAGTAGGAATGCCAGGCAGATGTTTCAATCTTCTGGGCCGGATCTGGATTTGCATGTCGCGCGTCGCAGTTTTCGCGGTTCCCATCTTTGCGGTTGCGCTGAGGGTGTGTGCGTGTGTGTGTGTGTGTGTGCCCACCCAACCTCTATGTGCCCGCTCTTTTTGTCTCGCATGTTTTTCGCCGAGAACTGAACAAGTTGAGCTGGAACTGTTACCTTGAGAAGCCAAAGATGAGCTACTTTACCATAAAATAGCACATCCTGCGTTTTTGGGGTGTGTACGCCTTCTCAGTTTTTCCGTTTCTTGCCAATGACGCCTTCTTAGCAGGAGCAGTCCCCAAAGCTACTTGATTGAGTATCCACTGATGAAGTCTGTCCACACATGTTTCCAGCGGAGTCAAAGCCTTCTCACACTCTTGGCCAGTGCACTGGAATATGAAACTCTATTCGTTTTGGGGAGGCCGTGACAAGAAGCCTCGTGGGATCCAAACAAAACAAGGGGAACAAAGTTGGGAGGGCCAAAGCAACATTGAGAAGGCATGGCCCCCTTTGGGAAGGCTCCGGGGATGGGACCTTCTTTCAGGTTCCGCGGTTGTTTCAAGGATGCATAGGGCCTGTGAAGCGCGATTTCTCGCCTTATCGAGCTCCACGAAGAGTCCGTTTCGGGTTCCACCACTGCTCACACGCGCGAAGTTTGAGGTGAAGCCAAAAACTTGCTGGCTAGCAGATGGGGGATGCCCCGTGTTCCATGGTTTCCCTTGAAGGGAATCCTCAAAACCGGGAAAAATCCCAAACCCCGGGCTCGGTCGATCTTTACCTATCGCACCAGCAAGACAAGGTCCCCTGGTAGTGCCCCTTTACCCCTTTTTTTGGGGAGGGTTTCTCTACTAAAACAGACTACAGAAAAAAATCGGGTACCCTTATTCTAACCTCTCTACTGGAGGACCTAGAAGAAAAGGCCCCCGTGAGGCGTGTGAGGGCGCGAGCCTTTGGCAGCGGGCGCTGAGCCTGCTGAAGACTCCGCGCCTGGAGTCCCTCAACACGCCGCCCGGCGTGGGGGCAGTTGAGAGATTTGTGGTGAGTATGGGTCAAAATTAAACCACCAGGGGACCGCAGGTTTTAGTCCATGTTTCCATTTGCCATGGTTCCATTTTGGGTACATACTTTTGACCCAAAGCCTGGTGGGGTGCGGTGTTTTGTTTCCCTTTTTCCGGCCAAAATGGCAGGTTTTTTGGCCGTTTTTGGTTCTTGGTGGGTGGAGGATGGCCTGACTGCCTGGTTGACTTCTTTTGCTTCTTTGCTTGGTTCGCTGCTTCTCTGTTTGCTAGCTTGGCTTTTGGTTTGGAACAGAGTTTCACTTTTTGTCTCCTTTTGGGGGGAAGGAACCACCCCCGGGTTTAAGTCTACCCTGTGGTCAAAAAGTAGAACCCCGGTTTGGAATGTTGGCGCTTTCTTCTGCGCTGGATCCACTGAACCACTCGCTTTCCGCGTCTCGTTACTTCTTGTGCTGCCTCGCTCGCTGGTTCGTTCCCCACGTTCAACCCAGGTGGGGTACTGGGGAAACTGAGCATCACACAGGGGTCACCCTTTCACCCTTGGTTTTTCGAGCTATTGACCCTCCCGCCATAAAAATGCACAGAACCCCCTTTCCAAGAGGAAAGGCCAGCACACCAGCTTGGCACAGCTCATGGCCAGCGCTTCAACCAGAGAGTCTGCGGATTTTCGTGGGCAACCTGCGCTAGGGCGGCCAGCGCCTGCGGCAAGGCCAGCGTCTGGGGACTTTCTCTGGCGCTGCTGCGGCGGGCAGAGGAGGCCGCGCTGGAGCTCAGCGAGGTGTCCTACAACGCGCCCGCCTCAGCCGGCCTCAGCGGTCGGCGGGGGGCAAATCCGCCGGTTGGAATACCCCCCACCAGAGTCCCATCCACTACGAGTCAGTCTTCAAGAACCTTCGGCTTCAACATGCCAGCAAGGAAAACTGCTTGATGGCTCAAAATCTCGTTGGGACCTGGAACAAAGATTTGGCCGTACTTGGCGGCGCTTTGCGGCCTTCTGTTGGGCGTGCTTTCCACCTGTTTATTGCTTATTCACCCGCAACTTCTTGGGGAAAGACCCGTTTGGGCCTTTCCCTTCCCACAAAGCAGCGGAGTCCTCCATGTCCACCAGTTTTTCTTTAACCATTCCCTGCACTGGGCGTGGGGCATGTGTTTGCAGCGTGAGAAGCCGAGGAAATGGATCGTGTCAGTCTGATCTGCAAAAGGATGGGACATGTTCTAGCTGTTTTTGACTAGTGATGGATCCCAGCTAAAAGCGGACCACACATGTTTAGACGTCAATCCGGAGATGTCTGATTGTCTCAGCAACAAACATCAATGTGCTACGCTGAGGGCTACGCCCGGATACGCGCCTGATTCAACGATTCGGCGTTGCGGAGACATCGCGATTTGGTTGCTCATTTGCCTATGATTTTCAATGGGGAGCCCCCTGAAAAGTCGTTGGTGGACATCAATTCCCACAGAATTCTGATGTCCACCGTTTCGGGTCCAGCCAAATCCATACCCATTTCGGGCTCCCTTTCAACGGTGTTCTGTTGGGACACTCTCTCTCCGGGTCTGGGCTCGAACCGAGGTGTACCTGAATGCTTGCCTGCACAGCTCCAAGTGGGATGCTGGGAAGGCAATTGGGCCAGGTCGACTCTGGTTAGCTCCGGGCGCGGAGCTGCTGCTTGTGTCAGGAAAGAACAGAATGGGAGTTTGCCTTTTTTGCGGTCCGCTTGAACTTTCGAAGCTCACTCTTGTCGGCAAGCTGAAGGGAGGTTTGGACCAAAAACGACAAGCCACCCATGGCCCGCAAAACTGGGCGCTTAGGGCCCGCCCCGGCCGAGCCGCTCAGACGTCCCGGCAAAGCGAGCCGAGTCGCGAGTCGAGTCCGCGGCCAAGGAGTTGGCGCTGCTGCCGAAAGCCAAGGCGGTCTCGGTGCTGGCCCTGCATGACCGCAGCATGGCTCTCTGGAGAAGCCCAATCTGTGGGGACTTCAAGCAATACCCACCCACCCGAAACGTCAGGTTCCATGTTGATTGGTGGGAGCATAGGTGTCCTTTTGATCGGTTGGTTTGATTAAGAATAGACGGGTTCCACTGGTTTAGGTGGGGGTTCTTCCATTTACCATCTATTTTTCCAAAAGGCCACCCTATGAGCATGGCTCTCTGGAGAAGCCCGATCTCAGTGGCAAATCCCAGCATTTGGAGGCAAACCCTTGATATGGCAATGAATCTGAATGGGAATCCTCTCAAAAGTGGTAAGTGGACACAAATCCCCACTATTCCGAATTCCTGACGAACATGCATACTTCTAAGGATGCTGGTCAAGGTGGGTCAGGCGGTCTGGGTGCTGTTTGCGTGCGTTTCTGGTGCTGTGGTGGTTACTGGCGGTGCTTGTTGTTTCCACTTCCAGGCATATTCAAAAAGTGTATCATGCTTTGTTACAATTCTTGGGTCTCACTTCCCGAGTTCCTAGAGTTGAGTCACTTTCTGGGATAGCATATTCTAGTGGCAAAGAACATGTCTGGATGTTTCTAGCCGATCCACTCAGGAAGTCAGACTTAATCTTAAGAGGCTACATACGATTTGTTGGATCCTTCCCTGCGGGAAGTTAAAGGCGTATCCACATGGCTACACAATTGCACACAGTATTACACTATGATCAGTGCTCTTGCCAGGTGACCTGCATGGGTTCTGACTCTTTAGGGCCCTGCAGTTGGTTGGTCAAACAAAATGCCCAAAACCCTGGAGCTGTGGCGAACACCCGTGGCTCCATCCCTGGGAGCCAAAAGTGGCGTCAGTGAGGCCTGGGCGCCTGCGAGCGCGCGGGCGCCGGCCAGGCGGTGGTGCTGCGAGCGCAGGAAGGCCTGCGCCGGGCGCTGAGGCCGGGGGGGGGGGGGGCGGTCGGGTGGCTCTGCAGCCCTGGGTTTCTCCCAAAGGAAACCGAAGGAAACCAAGGGAAACCAAAGGAACACAAAGGACACCAAGGGAAACCAAGATAACCAAAGGAAACGGAAACCAAGGGAAACCAAGGGAAACCAAAGGAAACCAAACGGATTCGACTTTTTCTTCGGGTTGCACCTTTTTCGAAACTCCGTCTTTTTTTTTCCTTCGCCCGAGGCGCGCGCCGCCGGCCGTCTCGGGGCTGCGGAGCCTGGTGCCGGGGCCATGGGAGCGGGGCCCGGGCGTTTTGGACTCCATTTTGGCTGGTGGGTGAGTTCTCACCACCCACTTTAGGACCTTGTTTAGTGGGGACGTTCGCTGGGGGTACGATTTGGCCTTTGACCCATGGCCACATGGAAGTGCACAGACTCCTTGTAGGAAGACGACTTGTCTCTTGGAAGGGGGGTTTGTGCACTTCTATGTTGGTCCGTGGGAGGGTAAGAGGCTAAGCAATTCGACACGTTACTCACAGTGGCACTGGGACCTGAAGAATGCGGCTACAAAGCCAAGGAGTTTGGACCATAGAGCGAGTCGAACTCCAGTCGGGGAAAGATTCGTGGAGTTCTCTCACTTGAGTTCGGCAGCACGAGCTTCTCATGTCGCGCCATAAAAGCGTCCCCCCACATGGCGCCACCTGACATGTGGGAGGAAGCTGATCTTCCAGCCCACAAAAGCTAGGCTAGGAGGAAGCATAGACCCTGTGATGATTAAAGCCGCGTCAGCTATGTTCGAAAGAAAGATAAACCCTATAATGATCAAACCCTCGTTATTCAACATTGCATGTTGAAATCAAATATGGGGGTTTGGTGCATCAACAGTCAACTCTCGACGCCAGGAGCAGCGCTGGGTACAGCGCGCAGAGCAGGCGCCGGCCTTAGGCACCCTGCGGCGCCTGCGAGCGGAGGGGTCGCCAGCGCCGCAACAGGCGCCAAGAGAGCTGGGAGGGGCTGGGTGTGCTGTGGATGGATTCAGATCACCTTCGAATAAAGGCCTTATGGAAGAGGGGATGGGGGGGGGATTGGGGGAGGGTGGTTTATGGTCGAACATTGCGACAATGCTAGAGGGACGCTCTACTTCAGCCCGGATTCACGGAGCGAAGAGCAAGGATTGATTCGAGGATACGGCCACAAATGATGGCAAGCACAGCCACGCAACAGGCTACTGAACCAGTGGACGGGAGTGAAAGATGCCTGTAGAGTTCTTTGAGTGGGAAGCTGAAGGAAACACAAAACACGTCGGGGTTCCACCATAGGCCACAAATTTGAGAGGGATTACCTCCGCAACACAGGTTGTTGCACAGCAATTACCTTGTAATTGATGTCCAGCCGAAAGGTCCATTTGTGTGTGTATGTGTGTGTGTGTGTGTTTTCAGGGAAACCTTTTCATTTCTTTTGCACACAAACTAAAGGGACGCCTGCTTTTCCCGGGCCCATTGGAGAAAGAAAGCCCACACATACTCTCTCCGCTTTTTTTTCTTCCCCCAACGGGACCCCAGGAAAATCAAGCACTTTGTTCAACCAGTTTGGAGGTTCCCAACTTCGGGAGACATGGCGGTGGGTCAAAACCAATCGGATCCCATTTTGGTTGGTAGGTGAATTCACTACCCATGTTAGAGCCTGTTCTAGTGGTTGGATTGGGATGTTGACTGGGGGTACGATTTGGATTTTGGTTCATGAGCCACATCTCCCTTTCCGCCCCCTCAGCTTCACCCCGGCCCCGTCCAGGCCTTGCCCCCGGCGACGGATCTCGTGAGCCCTGAGCTGGCACGGCGGCTCCTGGCAGATCTCGCCCTGGCGGGTTTCGCAAAAAAAAAGCGCGCGCGAGCGCTTTTTTGTTTTTTTTGTTGTTGTTGTTTCCCAATAAATACATTCCGCTCAGCTTGGGGTGGTTTGGTTTTTAGGGTGCGAAATTGGAAGGGATCAATACGCCCCTGGTTCATCGACAGATCCTGTAGGTTTGGGGATTTGAAATCCCCCACTCTTAGTCCGACAGGCTGATCGTGCACGAAGTTCTGCGGTTCAGCTTCCTATCCCAAATTCTTCAGAGGGGCTGGCTTTGAGGGGCCCTGGTCTTCGCACATACCCGCACCGGGTGGGATTTTGCGACCAACAGGGGGGTTGGAACCAAGCTCAGGTCCAGAGTCTCCTGAGCGCCAACGGCTCCCGGCTCCCCCCCCTCCCACATCCCCCCCAAAAGGAGTAGGGGTTACTGCGAGTTTTCGGTACCTGCCACACCTCAAAAGAGGCAGGAGCACCGTATCCAAAGCATGTCCAAGGGTTGAAGTCGCACCTGAGCCAAAGTGCCCAAAGTCTGCCTAGCTCAAAAAAGGGAAGCGCAAAACACAAGCACCTCGACATATGGCTGTGGGTCAAAGCCAATGGTGCCATTTTGGGGTAGGTGAATTCACCACCCATTTTAGAACCTATTTTAGTGGGGATTGGGATGTTCACTGGGGGATAACCGGGCTTTTGACACAGCCATATGAGACCTTCCACACATCACGAACCATCTGGGACCCTTCCTCACGCGCCCCAGGGGGTCGGACGTTCTTCGTGGCCGGAGGACCTCGTCTTCGAGAGCTTCCGCTGGGTGCTGCCTCTGCGCCCGGGCATGGCAGCGCTCTGCCACGCAGGCGCCTCGCCGGCGTTCGCGCTTCGCTCGCGGGTTCGGGGAGGAGCGGGTCTGGGAAGGACAAGAGCTGGGAAACATGTGCTCTTGGCGCCTGGGTTCCTGAGAGTTTTGGAGCAATCTGGTATTATCCAGGGGAAGGAGGGGGTGGCACGCAATTTTCGAAAGGTTGAACCGTCACTCTTTTCATCGTTCTTTTGGGGGACCAGCCAGATTCCTTTCCTGTCTGTGACGTTTCCGACATTTCTCAATTTGTATAATTCAGGCGTTTTTGTTTGTTGCTGAGTTTGCTTCGACATGCGTAGGGACTCTCGCCTTCCTTTGGTAGCTTCGCATGTGAAGGCGAACAAGGGGCAATCATTTGATCCCGGATTTCGGGATCAACCCAATGGGTGGTTCAATCCAAGCTAGTGTGGTCCCTGATTGTTGCTTCAACTAGGTATGGGAACACCCACACGAAGAGAATTGTCGGGTGTCCCTCCCTTCTTCATGTCGTGCGGCTCTCACCCGTTCCGGACACGTGGCGAGCCTGTTCCACAATTACAATTTCACACTTTGATAACCCTTTACGAAGGTGCCTGCCATGATATCATCCCCCCAACTCCAACACCTCTCCTCGTGTCCGAAAATGAGGCCTTATTACGGCCCTACTTTGTTTGGGGTTGGAGGAGGGCGTGTGGATGGACCAAATCCTGCACCAGCTGGAATAAATGAAACTGTATGACTACTGGGTAATAACAAAGGCAGTTGCCGATCGGCGTAGATGTTGTCCATCCACAAGGGAAACCACCCCGGAACACTTCCAAACCAATCCAAACATCCAAGCCAATTAGAGCGAAGTAGAGTATTCATGGATCCCCCAAAAGTTTGGGTTGGAGGGGTTTGGATGCGCCAGTACCAGGTCTCTTTATAGTGCTGGCCTGCTGCGAACTCTTCCAGATACGGGAGCCTTTGGCAGAGGCGCGTCAATGGATGAGCTGAATTCGTTTGTTTTGTGCCGTGTGTCTGTGTGTGTCTTTGTTTGTGTGTGTGTCTCTCTCTCTCTCTCTCTCTCTCTCTCTCTCTCTCTCTCTCTCTCTCTCTCTCTCTCTCTGTGTCTCTGTCTCTGTCTCCGTCTCCGTCTCCGTCTCTTTCTCTCTGTGTGTGCCTGTCTGCGTGTTCGTGTGCGTGTGCGTTTGCGTGTTCGTGTGTGTGGGCGTGGGCGTGGGCGCGGGCGCGCGCGCGCGCGTGCGTGTGCGCGCGCGTGCGCCCGTGCGCGTGTGCCCGTGCGCCCGCGCGCCCGCGCGCCCGTGCGCCCGCACGCCCGCGCCCGCGCGCCTGTGCCCCCGTGTCCGTGCCCATGCCCATGTCTGGTCGGGCTAGATCCTTGTCTGGCCTTTCCCTGAGATCCTTCATCATAGAACCGAGGGACATGGCGAAAGCTCAGCGTGACTTGTTTGTTGTGTAAAGCACATGGGCTGAGTGGTTGGCTTTATCCCCTGAAGAAGTCTATGTGCTTGACGGTGGTCACAAGCTGAAGGTCTGGCCTAGATTGCAGCTGGACAATGAGCGCACCCACCCACCCCGGTGGAACCCACTTCTGGTGTTGACAGGTTGAAGCCTTGATTGGAATGAACGGGTTTTTTTGTTTCTCGCAGTGACCCTTTCCTGTTGGCTGATGTCCTGGCGCTACAGGAGAGATGGATTTTGGAGAGGTCGACTTTGAGACAAGGGATCTTTCCATTTGACGCCGGCATTGGAACTTACCAGAAGACGACTCGGACCTATGAAAGGATTTTTTGAGGGCTGAGGTCGGCTGGAAGATGAAGCAGAACCTGACTTGATTTGTGTCGAAGGGCCAAGTTAAGGTGGGGCCGGGCCAATAGCCCTTTTTCTGGCTATTTGGTTGGGTCTTTGGATTCCGGGCAACCGCGGGCATTTTCCGCTGGACACAAACAATTGGACACATTGGGTTTTTCATTGGACACAAACAAGTCCTAGACTTTTTTTTTGCAGAGGGGTCGTTACAAGTTCTACGGATTTGTTCCATCGGTTTCTCAAAAAAAAGTCCGCTTCGGACACAAAAAATCAGCTTGATGAGGGGGCGTTCGAGCAACTCACCATGGGGATGTTTTTCCCACTCCACGGGTTGGAGTCCGTAGGAGCTCGCCTTGATTTCGGCGACCTTCTTGCTGGCGGCAGGCGGACATTTCGGAGCTCGGCTCGCAGATCGATATGGTCCATATGGTTTGTGATTGTTTCAAGCGGATCAATGCAGAACTCAAAAGGGTTGGGTTACAGGACATTCTGCAGGAAAACAGCTACTGGACATGCGCTTCAGCTGCAGGAAACTTGGACCCTGCCTTTTATACTTTGCAGCAATCTGTGCGGACATTCTTGAGAATGCAACATGCCAATTCTGTGAGATTCCAGCAAATGTGGAACACTGTGCAGAGGTGGAGGGAAGAAAAGTCTATGGCCCGTGTGGGGTCCTTGCAAATAGGTTGAAACCCCAAACTATGACCCTTATATGCTTTGCCTGTGATGTTGTTAATCAGAGAGCATGAGATCGAAATCATCGGCAAAACTAGACTCAATGAGCCATTCTTTTAAACAGCTTAGAACGGCGGTTGATACAAATGAGGCCGCCTCAACACTCTCATTGAACATCCTGAGCAGAGTTGCATGCTTGCGTCAGGATGAAGCAGGCGCTTCCAAACATCAGCCAAGCCAAGAAAAAAGAAAAGTTCCCGGCTTTGCAAGGCGGGGGGTAGGGACGACAGGACACCTTTTGATCTTCCGGCTTACACCGAAGCACACCTATATTTCTTTATGGGGCGTAACATACTTCATGAGGCCAGATCAAGAAAATGACCGGGAATAGCTTGGTTTGATTTGCTTCAACATTTCAGAATGGCGACTCAATCAAGCGTGCCGGTTAATCTAGGAACTAAAGGGCCAGCCAAGAGTCTCGGAGCAAAGAAAAGCACACGTTCGAGGCCAGCCTGACGACTCAGAGAATCTTGAATGGCCCCATTCTTCCTTGCGAGCCCGAAAGCTGTGCCGTGTTCAATGGGCTGGTGACCGAGACGCTAACGGCGGCCTTTCACAATGGCCGAGATTGCCACACCAAAGCGCCTCAGCGGCTTCGCTGCGTGGCGCGAGTAGACATGGGCGGCGCATCTCGCACGTGCTGTGGATTTTCCTGTCTCGAATCCCTGGGAAGAACAAAACTTGTTGCTCCATTGCCAGCGGGCAGCTAGATGATCTTTTGATTGAGGTAAACATAAAATACGCTGGATGCCACACAAAGCGTCTCCCGTCAGGGTTGCGCATTGTGTAAGCCAGACACGAGTGGGCCTTCCTCTCAGAGGAAGCCTTGAAAACGGGGTTCGTGAACAATTTTGGGTTCTCCTTCGAATCAGGCATATTTTCTGAGTACACCGGGCCGACCAGCCAACCAACGAAGTTCGCCTAGTTGGGTATGCATCCTTCCACCCGAAAAGGGGCGCCGATCCCCGGCTAGCGCGTAGTACCGCGGTACCGAGTCTTGAAGTACCGCTGGCAGGGGGGGGGGCAAATGAGTGCAAGCTTTCGATGTAAATTTGGGTTCGATAGGTTGGGAATCCGGGGCTTAGGTTTCGGGAATGAACCTACCGCGGGATCCACTTGGGACCGCAACAGTGGGATCCACTTAAATGAAACTCCCGAGAACCAGCAAGGGAATGTTGAAGCGGTGATCAAATCTTTGGGGTTCGCTCAAGGGGTGGACTTATGATCGCCTTGAAAAAAAAGGGTGGGTCCAATTCGGCCAATGGATTTAGGGCGGGAGGGCGGTTCCTTGAGGGTAGAGTTTAGAGTTGGATCTATGTTCATGTAAAGGGAGCGCCATCTACTTTCACCTTGGAAGCACGGGATGCAGGAAAGAAGTGGTTGGCAACTTGAGTCGCCCGCCAGTGCTGCCTCTCTTCCTCCTGACCCTGGGCTTGTGGCGCCGGCGGATTTGGCACAGCCCCCCGCTGCTTCTCGCGCTCATAGCTCTGCTGCCCTGCGCGTCAGGCGCCGGGATGGGGAAGGGGACCATTGGGGAGGGGGCCCGGCGGCCATGACTTGTTTCAGGATTGTGATGAATTCACCCAAGCGTCCTCTGCAACATCATGGAACCCCCAAAAAAGGGTCACAGGAGGGTCCTCTGAAGTGTTTGCAAGGACTGACTGGAAGGGGTTCCGCAAGGGTTCTGTGTGGGGATGCCACTTTCTTTTGTGTCGGGCAAATTCGACGCTCATCTTGAAAATAGGGTCTCTTCTCATTTTGACCCCCTCCATCCCCGGAAGAAGAATCCTTCAAGTTGCCCCAAGTTCTCAAGGCGTCCCCCAGGTTTCAGGAAGTTCCTCTGAAGGGGGGAGCTCCAAAAGCGGCCCATGTGGCTTTGTGTTATACGGGAACCTCCAAAGTGCTTGGCTTTCAAAGAAACGCCAGCGGACCAACCCCCCCCCCACCTCATCAGGTGTCTGCGGGCGCCTGCTGTGGAACAACAGGGCAAACAACAGGGCAGATGCAGTGCAGCTGGACCTGCTCAAGGCGGCAATAGAACCGGCACCGGCTAGGATCTGGCGATTCGGGTGGAAGGTGGGTGCAAGGCAAGTGCGTGCCTCAAAAATGGCAAAAAAACACCTTTCAGTTCAATGGATGCCCAAAGGAACCAAGCCAGAAAGAAGTGGTCCGCGACTTTGAGAACTTACTAGGAACCGTGATAAGCAACCACCAGACAAGTCCAAGTGAGTTACAACCGGGGCCACCTTAATTCGCCAGCTCCCGGACCATCTAAGCGGGGGGGTTCGATTGCCCGCGCGCGGACAATCGTGTGTGTAGCATCCGAAAGGCATAGGTTAGACCCCATTCAGGGTCAGCGAACATATGAGGGGTTGCCGGTTTTGGAATGGGGGCTTGATCTGGTCAGCCTTTTCTTGATTGACCATTGAGATGAGATTGGATCGCCATTGGCTCCCTTTCTCTGGTGACGTGGTTGGAAACCGGTGACAACTTGCCTATGCAGGCTTCAGTTTTTGGGGGCTCTCCATTTCCCCGCTTAACAGCAACCAAAGACTGAGTTTGACAATAGCAAACCAATGCTCGGCTCGAGCTTTTGGCTTAAAGGCATAGGCAGTGCGTTTGTTGGGAAGTGCCAGGGTTGTTTGCAAGGGTTCGGATATTGGCAACCCCAAAGCTCATCATCGAATCAGCGTGGATGCCATTGAATCTTGAGACGGCCGGTCGACTACCTCACCAAGAAACGTAGTGCTCTGACCATTGATTTAAGAATGGGATGGAATCCCCGAAGTTCTTCCAGTGAGCCTATGCCGAATTTGGGGGAGGAACAGGAGACTGCGTCTCCCCTTCAGTGGGTTTTAATGAAAGCCACCGGGTGGGTTGTATTTGTGCAACTGCTTGGGGCAGGGTCGCAAATCCACGCCTGGCACCAGTTGGGATGGATGAAGCCCTGTCAATCCAACTCGTGCGAAGTGGCTTTTGTCCATCCACAGGTCCGCAGGGCTGGCAATCTCCAGGCTCTATCCAGCAAACATTTCCAGGCCGTAGCCCCCCTTGGAGGTGCATGGATTCAAGGAAACCCCGTTTTGACGCAATATGTTTGGAGGTCATATTCCACTTACACAGTTTTGTTTTTAGCTTTTCTCGTTTAGCTTAATCATTACTCGCTTTTGGTGGTATATAAGCATCCTTAACAACCAAACCACCAAGCAGAGGGAAGCTAATCAATCTATTACTAGGGTGTTATTAGATTTCTCAGCTTTCTTCTGGTTGGTGGTTTGGTGGTTAAGGATGCCACCAATCAGAGGGAAGCTGATAAACTTGCTGGTGCTCAGCAGGGAATAAGGGAATGCCCCCCTATAGACCATCCAGCTGGTGGTGTTCTTCAAGGGACTTCTCGCACCACCAAGCAAATATAACCAGACCCTGACGTTCGGGGGGTCCTGGTGGACCAGAATTCCTTTTATACAAGGCGAGCCCCCTTGATAGGGGGTTGGGGGTAGATCGTTCGTGTCAAGTTGAGCTCCTACTTTGCTAGGTCCCCCAGTAGTGCCCTTTTACCGTTTCTTTTTGGGGGTAGGGTTCCCCTACTAAAATAGACTACAGAACAAAAAGGGTACCAACTTATTCCAACCTCTGAAATCTGGAGGACCTAGTTTGGGGGGCTAGTTTGGTTGAACCTAAGCCCCCTTGCCACGGGGGTTGGGAGGCTCAGTTTTTGGGTGGCGTTTTCTTGGAGGCTGCAGCGCTGCAGCTGGCCACTGCCGCGATCTTCCGGCAGCCGCTGCTGGCGCGAGCCGCGCCTCGACTGCGCGTGGGTGGGTTGAGGGCCTTGGGGTGGCTCGGCTTTTTTGGAGGCTACCTGTTAGGTTGGTTTTTTGGGTAAAGGAAAGCCAGATGAGGTGATTGGGGGGGGTGTCCGATTCCTAAAGATGAGCCACCTGTATAACTCCGTATAATCCCTGAATGTGGCTCTATGACAGAACGGCATTGAATTCTGTTAACCCCCCCTCCCAAATGGTTTGACATATAGACCCAATGATGTCCGCCAGAAGGTCTCCAGAAGTCCATTTCCACATATCCAGTCAAACCCCTGGATTGGGGAGAAGGCGCCACCCTTCTCTGTACAAAATGACTGTCCCACAAACCAAACCGGCGAAGAGTCTTGGGCTCGGGGTGTCTACCGCTGCAGATGCGGGGGCAAGCAGTGTCACCTTTCCAGCTCAGTATTTGGACCTGTGGATTTCAACGGTTTGGGCCAGCTGTTTCTACTGAAAGGGAGTGCGTGCTTGCTGTTCCCGCAGGTTTTCTTTTTTGCCAGGTCGGTGTTATCTACTCCCGGGTCCTCCGGCCGGACTGCCAAACTGCGTGTTAGTTGCACAGATTTTGCACAAGTGAGGCGGTGATCAAACAATGTTCCTCTAAACCCGGCACATTTGGGCCATGGTCACCTGTCATGCGATCGCTTGGGCTTTGCCTGTGATCGTCAAGCTGTTGATAAGAGCAGGAGGGTCCGTTTGCTTCGAGTTTGTTCAATTGAGAGTATAAAAAAGGCTGTTGCTGCTGTGGACTTGTTCCAACCGTTTGATGGCTCAACAGGTTTGACCTGCTTCACACAGGTTGTCACAGGTTTCCAAACGGAGCATTGAGCTCGCTCCCTTTGCCCAATGTCAAGTTAGTCTTCTTTGGGCCTGATGATTGAACGGAAACGTAGGGAAGCCTAGAGTCATCGACTGCGTAGCTTTGTGCAGGGGGGGCAGTTTCTGTTTTCTGTGAGCCAGCTTGGAAGTGGCATACGGATACCAGTCATGGGCATGTACTCAAATAAGGGACCTCACAAAATGGGGCCAGCGGGGGATGGGGGGGTCCCTAGCCCGAAAAGGGTTCCATCAGCAGCATGCACACTCATATCACCCACTTTCGTATCACACAGTTTGCAACAAGAACCTCCAATGGGCCTTAGGTTCAACGAGGCCAAGCCTTGAGTATGTGTGACTTTCCAGTTGAACCTAAACAAGTATGTGGCTCCTTCAAAGGTAAAAGTGGCTTGTGCAAAGCGTGTGGAGCGCCAATGGTTTCAACCCCGTTTTTTCCCCAGATAGCTGAAAGCTATAGGGGTTCTAACTTCTAATAAAGAGGGGGAAGCGATTTGCGAGATTGATGGGCTGGTGCTAAGGGGCGTGCAGTTTGGGGTGCTGGTTTTTGCGGATTGGGGTGCTGTTTGACGTGCTGATGGCAGTGCGGGCGCATCTTTTCAAGATTGACGTAGGGTGCTAGGGGGCATGCAGTTTGGGGGTGCTGGTGTAGGTGCTGTTTTGGGGGTGACGGTGCACGCGTGTTTTTGCATCTTGACGGTAGGGTGCACGCGGGCATGCAGTTTGGGGTGCTGGTGCTGGTGGTGTTTTGGGATGCTGTTTGGGGAGCTGTTTGAGGTGCTGGTGACGGTGCGGGCGCAATTTGCGATATTGACGCCCGGGTGCTATCGGGCATGCAGGTGACGGTGCAGGCACATTTTTGCATCTTGACGGTAGGGTGCAAGGGGGCATGCAGCTTGGGGTGCTGGTGCAGGTGGCGTTTTGGGATGCTGTTTGGGGTGCGGCTGGGTGTTTGGGGGGGTGATGTTTGGTGCAGGCGCATTTTTGCGAGATTGACGGCAGGGTGCAGGGGGCATGCAGTTCGGGGTGCTGCTGCAGGTGCTCTTTTGGATGCTGTTTGGGGTGCTGTTGGAGGTGCTAGTGATGGCGTGGGTGCTCGCTTGACGGCCGGGTGCTGTTTGGGACGCTCTTCGGGGGGGTGCTGTTGGAGGTGCTGGTTTGCAATCATCGCTATCTGGGGTCTATGCTGGTGTATTTGTTTTCTTCTCCAAGACTATTTTACACTTTAAGGATGTGAAGCGAAATTCAGCCGAGCTTGTGCGCCAAGTTTCTTCCCGCCTGGCCAGACAGGCCCACGATCCGTATCTGAGGTTAGCGCGCTCGTCTCCGTAGTGGCCCTGGTGCTGATGCTGCTGCCGGAGTTGCTGGAGGGCAGGCTCGGTCGAGAGGCTCAGGTTGGGTTGGGGTCAGAGGCCCAAGGCTTGAAGGTCGCGGTATGCAAAGTCGAGATGTTGGAAGCATGCGTTACAGTGGCGCGGGTCTAGGGCACTGTGCCGTGGTCAGGCTGCCAAATCTCCTGACGGTTTTGACCCTTGGGTGAAGGCATGAGCCACAATCGAAACCCGGGTAGTTGAAGTTTAATAGGACAGTTCCTGAAATCCACATGCATACGGCCACTGCAAAATGACATACCCCATTTGTTGGGAAAATCAGGGTAGGGTTCGGCTTTTGACCGTACTGAGAAATTCAGGTACGCTCTTGGGGGTCAGGGCTGTTGAGGCGAACCATGAATCAGGGACCCCGTCTTGTACTCTGAG